TGCCTCGCCGAGCAACCTTTACATACAAACACAAATTCCTTCCCCAAGACTTCTTGCCTTCCATCTTTTCCTTCACTAAGAGATATGCGTTCTTGATTATAAGCTTTTTCTAATGTTGGAAACTAGGTATTTTATAGGGTAAAAAATTACTAATCCATACGAGAACCTACTCGCCAAGTCTGGAGTCTGGAGATGGGCAAGCTTGTAGTCCTGACCAAGAATATATGTATATACCTTGTGCGGTCTGTAACACCCATTTTCATGCGACTGGGTCCAGGGTATAAAAAACACAACAAATAAGGCCAAGTTAATAACCGCACGAATGCGAAACACTTTACTTTACCGTTCTCACCTCCATCAGCAGGTAGAAATAAGCCACAAGCTCGAAACAGTTTCCTTCTTTCTTCTCCATAACTGCATGCCTTTTCTTTGGCTCTCATTATTCGAGACTGTAAGAATATGGATTTGTTGTCATATTCTCGTAGAGAATATTCAGGGCTGATGACTAGCAGATTTTCAGGGCAGCTAAAATATCCGTACTATTTTAAAATCAACTTAAGACAAGTTACATTTTACTTATATTTTTGACAATAAGCTTAAAGTCCATCGAATAAGGAACTAAAAGTTAGAATTTACGTTTTCTGTCAATGTTATTCTTGGGGGAAAATCTGGAAGCAGTAAAAAAAACTTTCGTTCCATCCAAATGGGGTGGAATTTTCGAAAATTTTGAAACATGTTTCAGATGCATTTTCACAACGACTGTGAACAAATTCTTACAACCATTTTTCGCCAATTTTCCACCGAAAGCTGAATATTGAAATGCATTTTCTTGTATTCAATACTTGCTCTCCGTACTTTTTATGATAGCAAATAATCGATTTCTATTCCATTGAATAATTAAAAAAAAACAAGAGGTTCTAGTCGTGAGCTCCCGACTAGGGGATACCCTGAACCCTCTTATTCCAACACCAAATAAATCCCTTGGCAGGGCTCGAATTTGCAACTGACCGCATTACTTACTGCCGACTCTACTCAACAGCCACACCAGCAAAAAAAAAAAAATAATAATACTTTCCCCGGTAGGGCTCGAACTCGCGACAGACCGCACCACTTGCTATGCCCCTACTCAGCAGCCACACCAACAATTAAGTACTTATGATAAAAAACGGAACTAAAATAACATAAAAAAAAAACAAATAAGAGGTGCTAGTCGGGAGCTCCCGACTAGGGGATACCCTGAACCCTCTTCTTCCAACATCAAATGTATATATACATATATTCTATTTTAGAAGCTATATGTCAAGTTTGGTGACTCTAGCTCTTATTATTTACCAAAATTGCCAAAAAAAACAGGATATTGATATAGACCCATTAAAAATGGGTATAAGGGTATATTGTATTTTGTGCAAAATCCAAATATGTATAACAGGCAGAAGGAAGCATCTCCGACCCCATAAAGTATATATATTCTTGATCACCACCATTAGCCGAGTCGATCTAGCCATGTCCGTCTGTCTGTCTGTCCGTCTGTCCGTCCGTCTGTCCGTATGTATGAATGCAAGGAAATGTTTTTCCATACTTTAAGTGGAGCTTTCCAAATCCCCGTCTAAGCATCCAGCTTTGTCAGCTTCGTATATATCGAAAGCAGGCAAAAACATCTATAATAAGAATTATGCAAATGATGTGATTGCAATTTACATAGTAGACCCCACAGCGGAACGCAATTGGACTTTTATTGCAAGATGTAAGAGAGACACACAGTAAAAGCAAAAGTCAAAGCAGCACAATAATAATTAAAACAATCCCCAAAGGATGTTCCTTAAAAAGTCAAAACATAAGTTAAAAGTGATTTGTCAAATTAAAATGAACCGAGCCACAAATGCGCAGATATGCCGGCTCTCCACCTATTTGTCGTCGTCGTCGTAATGAAGTCGCCGGCAGCAGGGATACACCCGAAACTCCTGTGGTATATTTAATAACAGTTGAACACACAACTGGGAATTCAGAAATGAGCACAGCTCGGCGTTAAAGAGAAACAACATCTGGCCGGGCCGCTAACGAGTGGATGGTACTGAGTACTTCGCGAAAGATGCTTCGTATGATTGATTTCTGTGACAATGAATAGATATGTGTAGACACCCGCAGTTGCCAGGAGGCAGGAGGAGGAGGTCATCTGTGGTCTTCCTTTAAAAGTTGATGACTCTAGCTCAAAAATGTGCGAGATATAGAGTGAGGCACAAGAGTTTTATCACCTTGTCTAGTTTATGTTTCATATTCCGATCAATTTTCACAAATAAGAGAATAGCGATGTTGATTTTTATCGATTTATCAGAAAAGTAATCGATTGTCGATTGTCCTTCTGTCTGCTACACACACATTCCCTCAAACCTTTTTGCGCTTTTTTACCCATTTTCCAAGATGTGCACAGAGAGAAAAACGGCGCGCTAAAAAAGAATAAATTGATCTCAACTAAAGACCAAAAACTAATTAATAGAAGTATTTTTGGTCATAAATTTAGTATGATTAAAGTTCGTGCGCTTTTGAATCAAGTTTAATGCAAACTTATTTCAAGCTCGAACTTGGATTAGGGACAAATTGGTTTTTAATAAAGAATCATTAAAACTTGATTCAATAATATTCCGTTCTTAAAATCAGCTTAATAAGACTGAAAAACGTAAAAAACAAAGCTTAATTCCAGTTGTTTCGTTCTTCAAAATGCATACTTGAAGTAAGAATTATTTAATTTGAGATAACCTGAAAACTACCAGCATTGGTTAATTAATAATCAAATAAGTAAATAAATAAATAAATAATTAAAAAAATAAGAATTAAATACTTGAGTCAAGTACCGCACTTTTATGAATGGTTCTATTTGATTTAAGCACGAAATTCTAGATTTTTCTCTCTGTGTACTCATGTATTACCAATACAATCACACGTATATGTTTATGTGTATAACTGGATGATCAACATCTTCCCCTCCGGCTGGAATTTATTTTAATGAAGCGCGGAATCATAAACTCCGCAAGTTAGCAATAATCGAATTACATATAAATATTTAATCGACGGGGAGAAGAGCTCACCGACTTTGCGGTTAATGGATATAAGATTTATAAATATTTTGGGCATGCGCTACTTAGAAGTCTCAAATACACATGCAACAATATTTGCAGTATACATACACATTTACGCTGTGTATGAACAGGAAAACCCGTTTGTTAATATTTTTGTCGCTCACATAATTACTTTGTTTATATGTGACAACTTGATGTCATCATCATACATACTCATAGCACACACAGAAGAAAAAAAACGGCAATAATTTTTAGTACAGCGAGCAGAGCACGGGATGCACACGCAGACAAACAAACAAACAAGCACACAAACAATCACAACAAGAAAGCCTAAGCGGTGTGTGTGTGTAAGCGAGATGGCGAGATAAAGAAACACAGCGATAGAGAGCTGTAAATGCTTAAGTGGTAGAAACGAGAAACGACAACTGTGATTGGTGCTAAGCACATCTTGGTCTTGGTGCTGATTGGCGGAAATGCCGCTGCGTGCCTACACTGCGTTCTTCTCTCTCACTCTCACTGCCTCGGGCTATTGTGTTAGCGCGTGGGTGGGCAGCAACCTCTTACTTTTTACTTATTTTCGTATGAAGCTTTAATAATAGACCAAAGCAGGGCCGTATCAGACACTTAAAAATGTATTTTTAAGATGTATTAAATCTGATATCGATTACAAATAATTTTTGTAGAATGAAACAAAAATGTTAAAATTCACAAAACTCAAGTATTATACTAAGTAATTGGAGGATGTGATTAGGTCTTCATAAAGCGCTTAATTCGGGATAAGTGAGAAAAAAAAACACAAGCCTTCGCTGTATTAAAAACCCAACCAAGAACACACACACACACACACACACACACACACACACACACACACACACACACACACACACACACACACACACATACATGCTTAGATACACAGCCAGTATCTGACCATAAGCCATGGGCTTAAACATTTAGCGCCAATCCAAAAGAAGGCGACACCAATGCCCGCAACACCACCCGCCCACAGCACCCCGCACCCTCCCTCACGAAGCAGCAGCAGCAGCCGCAGCCGCGGCCGCCAGTCAGAGGTAGTCTGCATACGCAGAGCCCAGTTCTAAATAGGAAGCAAATGACGCTACGCTGTGGCTGTCTCTCGGCTGTTTGGTTCGTCTTCATTGGCTCGCTGCAGTGAGTCGTGGTCGAGCAGTCGTGAAGTATGCGCAAGCCGATGTGGTTGGGCGGTGCGGTGCGGTGGCGAAACAAGGACCAAGGACACGCTCAGCACGCAGCGCACACGAGCTGCAATTGGAGACGCACGTACACACAGACACATACACTCATACACTCATACACGCACAGACAACACACAGATAAGAAACAAAACGTGCGCGGATCTCGGCGACTGAACGCAAACAGTCCGGAAAAAATGGCTAGAAATATTTCACGGCACTGAAAACGAAACAAAAAACAAAATTTATAATAAGTAAAACAACGGCTACGGCGACGACGACGACGACGACGACGAAAAATATTTGAACAAAAAATAAAAGAAAAGAAAAGCAGAGAATAAACGAAAAAAGAGGAAATTGGCTCGGTTCGCTTTCACATGAATGCCATGCACGAAAATAGACACCGACAAAGCAGCAAACGCCTCGCCATCGCCATCCGGAGACGCGGATTGTCAAAATCGTTATCAGTTGAATGCTGCTATCGTTAATCGGCTATCGTTAATTGTTGTCGTTATCGTTATCGTAATTGCTATCGGTTATCGATTGTCGGGCTGCGTGCGTGCGTGCATACCACAACTTGAAAGCTGTTCGAAATCATCTCAACTCCAATTTGTGTCGGATATTGTGTATTTTGTGTGTCACACTGTGCTCCCGATTTCGCGGGAATATATCCATAAATATTATACCCATTAATATCACAGCAGCAGCGCCCAACATGGATCTCTCAACGGCGTATCGTTACAATCAAAACATGATGGAATATTACACATGTATATAATCTTACATACATTTCAAGTATTTAACTCTCATGTGATTTACCCCCTTCCCCAAAAAAAAAAAAAAAATACTACCTCACAAGTAGAGACGATTACAAGATGTCCATTTTGTTTCGATTCTAAGTTTGTTTCTTCTACTATATATACTTATACATTCCGATATGATATAGGAGTTATATGTTAAAAAGTCTAAGCTCGAAATTGACTTCTTGTTGAAGATATCTAATCTCATTGTTGGTCAATTGGTCTGAGGAAGCCAAAAAATGCCTTTACTCAAAATCAAACGTAGATGTAGATGTAAGGAACCTTCGTTGACAGACGAGTTTGTTATCTGAAAATTAAGTTCGTTCTAAACTCTTAAAGTATACATATTCCTTATATGTCTTAAAAGACGAATCTGATGCTTTCCTTTCTCTCAGAACTACATTTTTTTGATGATGTCTTACAATGGATATTGTATATTCGCAATAGGTTAAGAACCTCTCTTATATTATCTATTATTTATATATATTTATCAATCACACGAATTTTGAGCGCTACTCTTACACAATCAAAATATGAGAAAAGCCCTTTTAATTACTTTTATAAAAAGTTTTGCGCTAACTTTTAAAATATTTTAAAATGTTTGATCAGTTTCCGTAATGAAATTCATACTTATGTGGGAATTGTCCAAAACGAGTGTAACACGTTTTGACTAATTATTGTATAGAACTTTGCATCTGGTCGAACGAAACTTGAAGTGTAAGTCACTATCACACTATCACATTATCTTATAGTATCTGAGACATGTTCAAATTTTTGGGCGTCAAAAAAATATTTATTGATTTTATGAAAGACCTTACATTTTTTAAATGTTTTATATTCTTTTATTTTTACTGAGATCGGTTGCAGTCGGTTCTGGTTTGAGTATATATATTGTATATAATTTGAGTAAATATTTGATCCGATCGAATGATCGTTTTCATTTTCCACGAATTTTCCGCGTGTTTCCCCGTCTCACGTTGATCAGGACAAACGGGCTAAGATATAGACAGATAGCTTGCCTCTGAGCTTAAATCTGTCCAGGTCGTTAATCGCATCCAATCGAAAAATCGTTTACCAATATAGTTTCTAAATTAATACAATGAATAGATGTGGCACAATACTCGTACCTGGTAGCAAGCTGGCGTTAAATATAATAATCGAAGTTGACAGAAAGCAAAAATAATGCACAAAGAGAATACAAACACATTGTTGAGACGAGGGTCGAGCTAGCTAGCTGTGTGTTTTGTATGAAAACAATATCTATTAGTTATGAGCACATCCATTGAAAATCAATAGTTCATTAAATGACAATGGCATTTGCCATTTGGCACTCTGTCAGCCACTCAAAGGTCCTTTGTTCCAATGCAGGACTCCAGCTCGTATCCCGCTGCGCCCCTAAAACAGTATCAAATTCGTGTCCTCTTATGTTCTTCGTAATATTATAGTGTGATATTGTGATCAGGATCACGCGCCAAATGAATTAACGGACATCGGGAGTCCATATTCAAATTGAGTTTGGACTTAAAAGTTCTGGCAAGGCAGATAAGTAGACAGATGAGCTGAGCTGGTCTTTGTCAAGCCTTCAAAACAACTAACTTAAATGTATTCAAGCTAAGATGCCAAAGGTATAAGATATGGGATATATATATAAGATAATGTCGAAGTCCCAGTCAATCAAAAAATTATAAAAAAGAATTAAGGTCCTTTACATTAAAAATGTATTGTTTGAATGCGCTTTTGAAGTCAGAGTTGTCAGTTGTTGGATATATGCTCGTATATTTCCTCACCCAATAAAGTTTTATGATTATCGGGTATCGATCTATATCATCTTCAGTTTTAGAGCTAGACTGATTAAATATGTAACAAAGACTACTCTTACAAGTTTTAATCTATTATTAGAGTGTGACCTAATATAACACAGTCGAAACATTTCTTGCTTGTTATTTCCTCAACCCATTCAAATGGGTAAAAGAACTAAATGATGCATGCAAACGGCCATAAGGACGCACCTCCGACTCTAAGGCTAATTAGACCAAAAATATCGGGTATTCTAATCTTAAATTATGGACCTTATGCTTTTTCGCCCAGTTTCCGCCCATGAAAAATTTAAATCTATTATCCTGAACTCAGCGTCTATTTAAAAACGGGCTTAAAGACCATTAAATAATTAACCTAAGTTTTGAATCTTGAAGACAAAAAAAACACCTTCTCGCATTAAACAATTGACCCGCATTTTCGATTCTAGAGCGGCCAATTTTACGAAGAACATATCATATAAATGTTCACAAGTATCGTTTCAAATGAGATTGACGCCGAGCCGATGGTAAACAAAAAATGGCACATTCCGCCAAATTTCCACAGTTGCGGGTGGAATTCGGTTTTAATATGAATTTGAGGCCATTGGAGCGTATTTAAAAATTACGCCCTGGCATTCTTTAACCAGCATTTATTATCCAAGAAAAGTTTGGAACACTTCTCAAATGATCATTTTATTTTCAAATCTTTGAAAATGATTTTGAAGCCAAAATGATTGCCATCAATTTTACAACTTTTGCAGGTGGAATTTGCAAAGTCCCTGAAACACGAGTTTTTTTTTAGCATAGGTATAACTTTGAAGCAAATAGGACTAAACTAATTACTTCGCTTATAAAATTTTTAAACCGCATTTTCCACCAACGAGCCGTGGATTTTGCAAAAAGTGGAATTGTATTCGAACCCGAATTTTCACCCACCAAATCTTGTGACACACCCCACAAAGGAATTTGAACAGAGATCTGCGCAAATAAGTTTGAAACCAATTGGACGAAACTTAAGCCTCCCCCAAGAACTCTGCATTTTGGGAAAAGTGTGAAACTCGACTTAAATATACTTTCCAAAAGAGCTTACACTCGAAACTTCGCCCATTGCACTTCAAAAGCCGATCGGATATACAAAAGTTTTTTGCTACTTTTCCGTCCATGCGGGTGGAATTTTTCAAAAAAAAGATCGGACTATGAGCACCGATGCGATTCAAGAGTTCATTTTCCATGAAAGAAGTACAGCCGGAGTCCGTGTGTTTTTTTGCATGTTTAAAAGGAAACTGGAATATTTGGAAAGGTTTAGGTTGGCACAAAGTTGATCTGATTTTTTCGCGACTTCCAAAAATACGCCTTCCGAATGGTGAACAAATTTCAGAGCATGTTTTAAATGTTCTGAGACTGTTTGCAAGCAGTTCGTACTTAATTAGCAATTGCATATCAAGTGCGAAATTTAAGTGCAGAAAGTAAATGATGTGGAAACGACTCCCGCCTTGGTTGGGTTTTGGTTGTTGTCTTTAGTTGTGTGCTTGTCATTAGGACAGATCTCTTCTGACCAATTAAAGGCGGCCTCTTTCTTGTTCTCCTCGCATGACACTCGATGCTTCGTCTGCGGCTTATAATTAGCAGTTCTGTAAAACATAAATAAATTACCACAGGGAAAAACCACAAGTTAGCTACAATCTTTTCTATCAGATATTAATCACCCGTAGTGTTCATTAAATGCTTTTATAGAGATTCGACTATAAATAAGGCCGATCGGAGTATGATGTAAGCCTTATCTATTCAACCTTGCACTTTAAATTTACTTCCAATTATTTCTAATATGTGGAACATAGTGAATTTTCACTTAGAGCTTGGTAAATGGTAAATTTCGAAACTCATCGGATCGATCGACTATATCAATTTAGATTTCGAAAATTTCAACTTCCGATGACCGGAATCTGGGCGAAAAGCTATGTGTACATTTTAAAGATTATATAAGTCCAGTACAAGGGTGAAGAAATTCAATGTCATATGAACAAATGTAATTTTTTGTCCGATCGGTTTTAAGCTCAGTTTCAAATTTCTGCAGAAAAAATTGGATAATTCAATTGTTATCCCTCCGAAATACTTAAGAACCTGAAGACGTATAAACATTTGATTTATTTACCAACTGATAATATATCCCTTATAAATCAAGTCAGTGTTATTTGTATAACCTTTATTCCTTTAGTTTTTTTAAAGCTTTTAAGGCTCCGGTTTAGGTCCAACCATTTTTTTATTTTATAACACGTTTTTTATATGAATAGAAAGACGGACATCTGGCTGTTAAGAGAGATTAATAGCTCTATGGGGTCGAAGACATCCCTTCTATGCGCTTCTCATTTCTATGATATGTGTGCAATTTTAGGTAGACATAAAACCTTATTCTAGTTACTATCGGTTCCACCTTTTTTTATACCCTGAACCCATTAAAAATGGGTAAAAGGGTATTTTGTATTTGTGCAAAATCCAAATGTATGTAACAGGCAGAAGGAAGCTTCACCGACACCATAAGGTATAAATATTCTTGATCAGCATCAATAGCCGAGTCGATCTAGCCATGTCCGTCTGTCTGTCCGTCTGTCTGTCCGTATGTATGAACGGAAGGATCTCAGAACCTTTAAGAGACTTGAAATTTTAGATGTAGATGCTCCTAGTTCCCGAGCAGATCGAGTTTGTTTCCGATAATCGATAACTTACTCCGTTCCAAGCGATAAAAATCGATATCGATATCCTGTTTTTTGGGCAATTTTGGTAAATAATAAGAGCTAGAGTCACCAAACTTGACATATAGCTTCTAAAATAGAATATATATATGCATTTGATGTTGGAATAAGAGGGTTCAGGGAATCCCCTAGTTGGGAGCTCCCGACTAGAACCTATTACTTGTTTCTTATTGGAATAGTTCCCACATGCAATTGTTGATTAAACATATTATTTGCACTTAATACTAGATAAATACTATCTAAACCTAGGACTTACCACTTTTACCACTATTCAAGAGTTTTTTCCACTTATTTCAACATAGGTCACGGGGGCGTCAATCAATTAGGAGGCGTGTTCGTTAACGGTCGGCCCCTACCCGACGTCGTCCGTCAGCGAATCGTGGAGCTGGCACACAACGGCGTCCGTCCGTGCGATATATCACGCCAGTTACGAGTGAGCCATGGCTGCGTTTCAAAGATATTATCAAGGTTAGTAAATTATTCATTAATAAAAAACCAAAAGCGATCTGTTCAAAAGCGCCCGCTTAGCAGATATGATCTGATCTGCTATAACAATCGCATTTAAAATAAAATAAATAAAAATAAATTTAAAAAAAAAAGAGTTCCCTGCGACGGAGACGAACTCAAGCGACCCAAACCGCTTGCCGTCGCCTCATACCTCACGGCCATACCAAGAATTGAGTGCAAAAAGAAAAGAAAATTAATTTAAATATTATGCAATACAACTTATGTATATGCATACAGAAATTCTTGGAATTCGTGCTACCACGTGGCTTGCCAAAAAACGTTTTATTTAATCAAATCTTAACCATTCTGTATGAAATTTTCAGCTGTAGATCTTTTTGTGCTATAGAACATTTGCATATTCTCAAAAAGACAATAGCATTGTGGCTTGGATTTGTGGACAGTTTCAATTGGGCTCTTTATTTTATTTACCTGTGGCGATAGCCACCTGATATTTGATCCGTATATACTTTTATAGAAGCTATTGATCCTGATAAAAAGAATTTGCTTTCTTCTGCCTGTTGCATACATTTGCATTTCACATACATACATCAGGGTACAAAAAGTGAATTATTTTTTTCATACCAAATTCTATGCTTTCCTGTTCTTATCTCTGCGATATGCTGAGGAAACTTTGCTAACAACGATATTTAGAATTTGAGGCCAGCATCGAAACTTGTCGTTAAAATGACATACAAGAATAAATTCCCCAAAATATAAGTCTCTGGCAAAAATCGTTCAATACAAGAATAAGATTTTTCTTATCGCAACGTATACTGGTACATCTCGTTATATAAACCTGTATATCCTGCCTGTAAAATCTGGTAAATGTCGTACATTAAGGCGGGGTTTTAAGAAATTCCATTGTTAACTATTCGATTCATTTGAGAGATTCTTCACACTTTTCACTCCTTAACGAAAAATTTCCTTCAGACTCAAGATTTTATGGGCAAAGTTCTAAATTTCGTCCAACTACCAATTTTAATTATTTTTAATAAAATGCATGTATTTCGTGGCTGTCCGCAGGGTTCTATCTGAGATTCAATCATTTGGAGCCTTATGATGGATCTGTTGCTGGCGCAGCTCGAAATTCTTTCGAACTCGTCCCGATTAAGGGTCGGCCGCATCTTCCGACTGAGCCGAATGTGTTATGTACTTTCTTTTGTTATGTTTAATAATAATAATAATTTTTGCTTTCGTTTTTGTTAATAGGCGACAAAAGGGTTTTTTTTACAAATGAATAAACCCCATCATGTATATGTGTGCTATTTCTTAAAGTGTATATTTTACTGACAACTCAAAATTCCTCTACAAATTGTAATTTCGCTGACTTTGTATACTACGGCAGGCTTAATATGTATATTCCGTCATTGTCAGATGTTGTTGTAGGTGTACACTAGAGGGAAAGCAGAGGGAAATGGGGGAGAGAGAGAGAGAGGGAGCAGATAAATGCATGCAGTCGTTACATCCCGTGTGTACAAGGTTTGAGTTGACCACAAAATCCAATGCAAATAGGATAATAAATCTCTGCGAGCGCATGTCCTGGCCAGGACTGGGTGTAATCATATGTCGCTGGCTTTGGCTTTCTCCTCAACCTTGCATCATAGGAAAACATTGTCCGGGACCTAAACGATGGCTGACATTTAAATTGTTTGTAATTGAAATGGTAAAATTTGTGGTTCCGTATGAGAATGTTTGCATTAATCAAGGTGTCCGCGCTGATGTGCGCCGATATTTGACGTTATAGTTATTACACTCAAACAAAAAATGTTTACCTAAAATTTCAATAAAGGAAATGTTCTTAATTTCTCTCATAACAAAAGAAAATAATTCAGAAATATATTTTCTTTAATTGTTTTTTGAAACTTGATTGTTTTTTAGAGTATTTTTTTTTGTCCTAAAATTGTAATTGGGAAAAATGTTCCTTATTTCTTAATTTCTCTCATAAAAAATACAAATGATTCAGAAAATATTTTCTAAAATTGGTTTTTAAACATCTCAAAAAGATTGAAAATGATTCTGGAACTGATCGGACGGTAAACAAACAACTTTCATAGAAACGTTTTCCGCTAATTTACCACTGTTGCGGGTGGAATTTCCCAAATCGTTAAAACACGTATTCATTAAGTTTGTTTGTATGTATAGATTTAAAAATAATTTGGAAGCAATTCGGATAAAATTAAATCACCAACAAAATTGTTGAATTCCACTTTTTACCGAGGATGCTTTGATTCTGCGTAAAATGTAAAACAGGTTTCAAATGATTTTTCTTAAGGATCCTAGGAAATGAACTTAAGCGCAAAAAGTCACCCATCAAATCTTTGACACCTATTTCCACCAAGAAGGGATAGATTTTCCAAAATGTGCGAATCACCCCTTAAATGAATCTGAGCAAAAATCTTTGAAAATAAGTTTGAGGCCAATCTGATGGCTAACAAAAAAGTTTCATACAATCGTTTTTCGCGATTTTTCTATACTTGCGGGTGGAATTTCCCGAAACCTCGTCTTAACGTGCACCTTCATCACATAAGGTAACTACAGTGAAAATTTCAGCTTCCTAGCTCTTACGGTTTGGACTGTACGTTGATCACCAATCAGTCAGTCAGTCATACAATTTAATATATAGAGATTTAGAGACGATTAGATTTTCTGTCCCCATATGTAAATGCGTCTTGAGAATTTTAAGAGCTAGACCCTTAGAGTTTTAAGCGTAGATCATCCTATTTCCCGCGCACCATCAAATCATCGATAGGTTTAAGTTTGGTGACTCTAGCTCTTCTTATTTACCAAAATTGCCCAAAAACAGGATATCGATAACTATCGATATTTTTATCGATTGCTTGGAAACGGAGTAAGTTATCGATTATCGGAAACAAACTCGATCTGCGCGGGAACTAGGAGCATCTACATCTAACATCAAGTTTCTAGCTCTTATAGGTTCTGAGATCCTTGCGTTCATACATACGGACGGACGGTTACATACATTTGGATTTCGCACACATACCCATTTTTAATGGGTTCAGGGTATAAAAAAGGTCAGACACCGAAGTTTGTCCCGGAATCATTTCCCAAACTACGGGGCGAATGGAAATGGAGGCAACGGCTTATATGTGTGTTTTTTTTGTGCGTTGATTGATTTCAGCATGTTGACAAATAGTCAGGTGCTAGACAGGTGGACAGGTGGAATGATGACAATGAGATGAGCTAATACAGCATTCCATAACAAGGCTCAATTTTAAATAGTTGCTGAAGGTAATCCGATTACTGCTGGGTATCATTTTTGTCAGCCGTTATTCTTAATATAATATAACATAATATATAAATATATATATAATGGTAATGCGATGGTAATGTTTGATCTAATATCTTTATATCGGAGATACGCCACTTTTATTTTTATTGTGTCCAAATTGTATTTCACTCTTGAAGAGCTTAAATCTACAGCTTGAACTTATGAATATGAAGTTCTCTATATAATTGTGGAAAATTGTTTTATAATTTTATGGCTTGTATCAACTCCAAGAATTATTTATATCCTACATTTGCTGGGCAATTAAAGTTCTAAGATACAATAATATATTTATTTATTTTATTTTCAGATACTACGAGACTGGTAGCTTTAAAGCAGGCGTCATAGGTGGGTCCAAGCCCAAGGTCGCAACCCCACCCGTAGTTGATGCCATTGCGAACTACAAGAGGGAGAACCCTACTATGTTCGCCTGGGAGATTCGTGATCGGTTGCTGGCAGAGGGAATATGTTCGCAGGATAATGTCCCCAGCGTGTCCTCAATTAATCGGTAAGTACATTTTTATCCCGTATTTGGGCTTATAAACCAAGTGCTTGGCCATTAAAATTGAGTAAATCAATATTAAACAGGCAGAAGGAATATGTTCTATTTAAAAAAAAAGCTCGGATAAGTTTTTCTATTCACTTCAGGCTGGTCTTAATTATTATTGTTTCAGCTATTTATTATTTTAGCTCCTTTCCTTGTGAATAATTAGAAATTTTATAGTTTTATTTATTTGAACCAGCGACCTCTCTCGCTTGCATGTCCGACGCTCAGTCAGTCAGAATTGGTGTGTCGATCGTATAAAGAACGTTTGCTGCCAATGTTAGTCTTGAGGTGAACATCTTGAACCAGAAAAAACAAGTTCCTTCATTGGGCTTTTGACCCGCATTTTTCACCAAAGTGCGGTAAATTTCCATATGTGTTAGTGGTATTTCCGAGATCGCTGAAACACGCATTCATTTAGTTTTTATAAAGTGCTTTGAAAAAAAGTTTAAGACCGATCGGACAAGAATTAAACATTCGCCCGGACAACCCTTGACAGGCTTTACCTATCAAGAGGATGGTTCTCATTCGATTTTCATGCTTTGCAAATTATCGCGATTTTCAACAGACGATTTTGGATGCTGCGAAAAATGTGAGACACTTTTAAAATTATTTATAAAATAAATTTAAACGCATCACGTCGTCCATGTATTCTTTGAGCCCCAATTACATATACCAGGGAAATGTGTGAAACACCTTTTCAATGAACTTGATAAAAGAAAACTTTTTCACGATTTTTCACGCATACGATCGGAATTCTGAAAACGTTTTTCACGATTTTCCCACACATGCTAGTGGAATTCTCAAACCCCCGTCTTAACGTGCACACCATCACATAGGTAACCGAAGTGCAAATTTCAGCTACGCTATTCACCAATCAATCGATCAGCCAGTCAGTCGGGCAATCCGTCTGTCAGTCAGTCTGTCAATTTTATATATAGAGAATATAATATGTTCATGTAAGTACGTATCTGTGAGTCGATATGACTCTATTAGAAGCCGTCGCTGATTGGGCAATGTGTAAGCCCGCATACCAGAAAACTTGTGGACTTGGAACAAAGTCAACAGTTGGATGTGGTCGTTACCATCAAGTGAGTATTAGTCTTGCAGTGCTTGGTTGCTGTCATGCAGCTTACTTCCGAATCCGTTTCCGGCAAAGTCCGTGTTGATGGGTGCGGCTTACAGTGCCAAACACGAGGGCTAATAAAAATATCTAAGTAGTTTTCAGCGTTCATAATTGCGGCACAATGCTTGACACACGACCACCACAAAAGCCAGCTTCCTATCCGTGTTCCGGCGCAGCATTCCTGCCATCATCTTAATCATCATTTTTGTCGTCGTCGTAATGTACGCACTTCCTCCTTGACCATAATTCATTTTATTTGGCCAAGGATGCCAGCAGGCAGCTGCTCAAGGATTGAGGACCATAAATTAACCGGGTACAATAATAATTGTAATTCGGGCGGCGGCTGTCGCAAGGGGAGACGACTAAGGTCAACACGCAAAAATGTTCCGCATTTGTTCAACAGTCAAACAGCGCGGACAGTGTTACAAAATTGTTAAAAGTATTCTAAAAACAAGTAAGAGGTTCAAGTCGGGAGCTCCCGACTAGGGGATACCCTGAACCCTCTTCTTCCAACATGAAATATATATTTGTTTATATATATTCTATTTTTGAAGCTATATGTCAAGTTTGGTGACTCTAGCTCTTATTATTTGCCAAAATTGCCCAAAAAACAGGAAATCGATATCTTTTATCGATTGCTTGGAAACGGAGTAAGTTATCGATTATCGGAAACAAACTCGATCTGCGCGGGAACTAGGAGCATCTACATCTAAAATTTCAAGCTCTTATAGGTTCTGAGATCCTTGCGTTTATACATACGGACGGACGGACGGACGGACAGACAGACGGACATGGCTAGATCGACTCGGCTATTGTTGCTGATCAAGAATCTTTATGGGGAACTGAAGAACTTTATGGGGTCGGAGAAGCTTACTTCTGCCTGTTACATACATTTGGATTTTGCACAAATACAAAATACCCTTATACCCATTTTTAATGGGTTCAGGGTATAAAAAGCCAAATCATTTTAAAATAACAACTGAAAATAATCAAACTTGGCTAGAAAACAGCTGAATTGGCATCATTCCGCTTGCCCCAACCGAAACCCAACCAAAACCCAAGCCAAAATCCATTGCTGCAACCACACGCGGCACGTGCAACCATTCGGAATCAATTCGCCACGTCGAGCAGTATGCAAAGCGTCGGGTATTAGGGCATTTGATGTGACCGAGATGCGATGGGTAATTCAAGAGGGTATTCCAAGGGATAATCAGCATTAACTTGCCTTAATGCGACAATGTGTGATTCAATGTCACTCGAGCAATGATTACGGAGCACGATTCAATCATGTAACAAATATATATGCGAGAGTATATGAGTACGTATGCTTACAGATTTACCGCCCCTTACAGCAAGTGTCAGTCCAGTTTTTTCCTGTTCCCCTTCAATCCCAGCCCAGTCCCAGTCGCAGTCCCAGGGGAAAAGCGCTTTAAAAGTGACTTTCGCAGCACTCAACGTAGGCCAATCGACTGCCCTTTTCCCTCCTCCCCCTGCCTCATTGGCAAACAAAGCGAAATAAACAAATCGATGTATGAAGGCGCATCCCAAACATATGTCCCAATTGTGTGCACTGTCCAACTAGCCAGCCAGGCAGCACCCTCTTAAAATTATATCTCAACCCGGTGAGATTGTTCTTTTTGAAAAACATAATTTGATTCGATTCTGCTTGAGTTGGCCCGCCAAATCCACAACCCTCCTCTGAGGCCAAAATGTCCTCCAAGCCAAGCACTTAAGTACACATGCTCTGCACAATATTTAAACGTACTCTCAACTTTGTGTTAGTCAGTTGACTTAATATGGGTTTTAGTGCAAGCTTGAAACCAATTAACGAGCCCGTCAATTGCCCTCTTATTTAAGTTTTGGGGTCTCTAAATTACAATAGTTATTTTCTCACCCAACACAACTACCGCGGCCATGGACATAAAACTTCGGTTAATTTAATAGAAAAATCCGTATCAAGCGGTCCCCAGTTGCCTGGTGTTGTGCAATGGAGTCTTAAGGTGGAAAGAGAGTGGATTTCTACGCACATTGACTCCCCGCGGCTTACCTGAGACAAGACAAGACTTTATTTAGTATAATGCGACAATTACAGCGTTATATACATAAACATTATAGAATATGAGAGACAAATGCTTGAGATGTAATTAATTCCTTTTTAGGATATCTTGCGATTGTCGCCAGATCCTTACCAAATTTGCAGGACACAGAGATGGTAACGAAAAAAAGAACATAGAAAAAGTCCCGAGTGCCCGACTAGGATATACCCTGACCTCATGCCGAGCTACCTTTACAAATATATATAATAATATTTAACTGGCAATTTTGTAAAGAAACTCTGACAGATTTTTCTTTGCCCGAAATCCTTGCTAGGATATCTTGCGCTTGTTGCCAGACCCTTGCCAAATTTGCAGGACACAGAGTCCCGAGGACTCCTGTCAGCTAGATCTGTTTAAACAGAAAGGGAAGTACATATGGGTGGCCCGTATCTACTTATATTATAGAAATTTAGATTATTTGATTGTTTTCCAAATGTGTTGCTGCAAAGCTCGTAAGGGTTTTCAACTAGCTTCACTCAAAGTTATAAATATTTGTTATTATTAAGAATAAGTTTTTCCGTTTTGGTCGATATCTCGAAAATTGTAGGAGCTGGAAGCATCAAACTTGATGTGCACATTGTGGTATAGTATGTGGATACCTACTCCATAAACCATTTTTCTCTAAAGTTCGAAAAAAATACATTCTTTATGTAATCTAAGTTTATGGCCTGAACATTTGAAAAAGATCGGACTTTAAGGGCCGATGCTGATCAATAATTTTCCATGTCAGTGCGTTTTTCTATGAATGTATTGCCACAAAATGTAATTATTTGTCAGGATGGTTTTTCATACATTCCATGGCTTTGATTATCTATTATTATAATTTATATTTGATATATGTATGTATGTATGTATATACTTTAACTTAATTCTTCTTTTTCTTCAACATCACAAATCAGACTAACGATAATTCCTTATTACTAATAATCGACATGCGTCTTATACTTTTATGCTATACTACTCTCCATCTGTCTTTTGACAGTATATAAAGAAACTAGGAATCAAGAAGTGGTAAGGGTATCAGTCGGACACTTCCGACTAGGGCACATATACCTACATATATATATATATATATATATATATGATTACTGGAGATGCTCTTTTCACTCGTTTCAGGATCGTTCGAAATAAAGCAGCGGAAAAGGCAAAGCACGTACACCATCACCAGCAGCAGCAGCAAATGCAGCCGAGCCTGAGCAACGGTCACATTGGCACTGAGAGCCTTGACAGCAGCACGGGCGCTGTCAGCGAGCACCAAGCGCCCAGCGCCGGCAACGGCAATGGCAGCAACAACTCCAGCAGCAACAACAACAACAACACAAATACTTCAGCGACGGTCGTGGCGCGTACAACGGGACTGGGCGCAGTTGCAGCGCAAGAAACGGGCGCTGCCGTCGGCAACAGCGCTGCTCCGCACAATGGGAACAGTAGCAATGGGAACAGTAGCGGAGCAACGAGTCAACAGGGCACAGAGCAGCGATCGTCAGGTTCGGGATATAGCATTAACGGCATTCTGGGTCTACAGCACGGCCATCATATACACAACAACAACAGTAGCACAAATAACAATAACAACAATACCTCGGATTCAAATTTCAAGCGTAAACGAAATGAAGTTCACGGTAAGTTTCCTATTTATTTCTGCTACAAAAGCAATAAATACACTGTTTATAGAGGATAGAGATAGGAATCATAAGCACACAAATATAATGAAATTCAAGAGTGAGATAATGTATTAAAAGGCGATTTATTACTATTCTTCTTCAATTCGGACAGAATAATTATTAAAATATTCTCTTTGCTCCGCCATGATGGGCTGTGATCAGTTTAAAATATCGCGTTGAAATCTTGCATGAATCCGATTTTTATTTCAACACTGAACTATTATATTTTGGTTTTATCTAACACTAATTTTATTCATGTTTCTTGCTTTAATATTTTTTCTTATAGATAAAGATGAGCCAAAAAATTAGTTTTTCTACCCTGAATCCATTAAAAATGGGTATAAGGGTATTTATACCCTGAACCCATTAAAAATGGGTATATATTGCCTTTGTGCAAAATCCAAATGTGTATAACAGGCAGAAGGAAACATCTCCGACCCCATAAAGTATATACATATATTCTTGATCAGTACCAATAGCCAAGTCGATCTAGCCATGTCCGTCTGTCTTTCTGTCCGTCTGTCCGTCGTCCGTCTGTCCGTATGTATGAACGAAGGATCTCAGAACCTATAAGAGCTAGAGATTTGAACTTTTAAATGTAGGTACTCCTAGTGCCTGCGCAGATCGAGTTTGTTTCCGATAATCGATAACTTACTCCGTTTCCAAGCAATCGATAAGAATCTATATCGATATGCTGTTTTTTGGGCAATTTTGGTAAATAATAAGAGCTAGAGCCACCAAACATTATATGTTGCTTCTAGAATATTATAGATATTTCAAGTATCCAACCAATTTAAATCACAATTTAAATGCAATTGATTTTTTCAGAATACATAAATATTCTATGGTACAATAAGATATACTGTAGAAAATTTCATAAAGATCGGTTAAGAAAAACCAAAGTTGGTGTGGCTGTTGAGTAGAGTCGACAGTAAGAAATGCGGTCAGTTGCAAATTCGAGCCCTGCCAAGGGAACTTTCTTCTATTAATTTGTTTGGGTATCCCCTAGTCGGGAGCTCCCGACTAGAACATCTTCCTTATTCAATATTAAACTCTTGTTTCTTAAGATAGTTTACTATTCATATAGCCAACATCTTCGAATTAATTTATCATATAGCTCTATACTTTTTACACTCTGGTAGAAGAAATTACCCGGCGTTGAACAGGACAAATTAATAATGGTAAAATGCGAAAGTTCACTGAAATCGGAATAATAAGTTTAGGACAGATCGGAAGAAACTTTTAAACTTCGCCCTGACTACCTATAAACCGCATTTAGAGGGGCAAAGTTTGCGAAAAGTGTGAAGCACGTAAAACCTTTAACCTCAAATTTCCACTTAGAGCTGTGCATTTTTCGTCGCGTCCTAAATTCATTATTTTAAAGAAACATCAACACGAGGGTGACATGTAAAACACCCCTGAAATGAAATTAAAGGGATTTTTAAGAAATTAGTTTGAGGCCAGTCGAATGTCAAAGAAGTGTCATACCAAAGTTTTTCGCGATTTTCAAAACCGCGCCTTAGCGTTAGCCTCCATCACATAAGCTAGCTAAGGGGAAATTTTCAGCTTGCTAGCTCTTACGGTTGGTGCGTTAATCACCAATCAGTCAGTCAGCCATGATAAACAGTTATAAGTATATAGATATATACATATCTCTATACAGATATACAAGTATGTTATACGAAGGGATATAAGTGTATATGTGTGCGTGTATGGGCGTGTGCATGTTAGTGTATGCACGCATGTATGTATGCATGTGTGTATATATGTATGCATGAATGTTTGTTTTCTAATACCAAACCAGGCCAAGCTTCAGTTTAAATGCAATTGAGAATATATTCTATAGTACAATAATTTCATTAAGATCGGTTAAGAAATACAAAAGTTTTTAAAGATAAGATTAGATTAAATCAGGCCCACCAATTCGAGCCACAGTTTAAATGCAATTGAGAATAAACAATATTCTACAGTACAATAATTTCATCAATATCGGTTAAAAAATACAAAAGTTATTAAATAAAACTTATTTAGTCCGCCCCACGTGGACGTGTATGACGCGCGTCTCCTTTGAATTGTATCTATAGTGGAAAAGGGTTCAGGGTATCCCCTAGTAGGGTAGTTCGGACTAGAGCCTCTTGTTAAATTAATTTGTTTGTATAAGAAGAAAATTCTCAGTAGCTATATCGCATCAGCTAGTCGAAGTTGTCACCTTCAGAGCGTTACAGATTGCTTTGCAACATTTTATGGCCCTCTTCAAGGGTATCATAGCAAACAAGTAAGAGGTTCTAGTCGGGAGCTCCCGACTAGGGGATACCCTGAACCCTCTTCTTCCAACATCAAATGCATATATATATTCTATTTTAGAAGGTATATGTCAAGTTTGGAGACTCTAGCTCTTATTATTTACCACAATAAAAAAAACAGGAAAAACGGACGGACGGACAGGCAGACGGACATGGCTAGATCGACTCGGCTATTGATGCTGATCAAGAATATATATACTTTATGGAGTCGGAGATGCTTCCTTCTGCCTGTTACATACATTTGCCTTTCGCACAAATACAATATACCCTTATACCCATTTTTAATGGGTTCAGGGTATAAAAACTACATTTGCTTTAGTACACTTGCAGAGTGGATATGTCCATTTGCAATTAATTTACTTAAAATTGATCCAAGTTGAGAAATCACTACCATTTTTTACACATGTGACGATAGACACGAATGTACACTAGGTGATTGTTGTAATCCTATCTGGAAGGGTGGAGCTCAATGCTCACACCCAGTTTCCATCCCCTAACGACACTTTGACCAGATATTCAGTTTCGTTCTGCCCATTCTGCGGAAATCAAAATGATTTGAACAAATTTGCCACAAATTCAAGCCTAAGTATCTACTACATACATTCACTTTAGCAACTGAACTCTATTCCTCGGGGAATCGATAAGCAATCTCGAGTAAATGCACAAGTGTGGGCCACAAAAGGAAGCCGAAGGTTGAAGGTCGGGGCGGGACTAGAGATGGAACTGCGTGAGGCTACTAAAAAAATTAAATTAGAGAGCAGCTGTCAAATTGATATTGTGTCAGGAAAATTGTGTGCAATAAAAGCAGATCTCGACTTTCCTATATTGCAATTTTGGAAAACAACATTTTATTAAAATTGTAATGAATTGTGGAATGCAAATTTTTTGCCAATTTTCCAATTAAATGAAATCTTAAATAAAGTTATGAAAAACAAATATTACAATTTGTTTGACCCTATCGGGCCATCACTTTGTTTATTTTTGCCGTGTGTGTTTGAAAAAGCAAGTTTCGTGCTCGTGTTCATGCTGGAACGTGCGGTAAAAACATAACCTGCGCCCATCTCTAGTCTGGAGCTGATTTAGGCTTAAGTTTTTTTATACCCTGAACCCATTAAAAATGAGTATAAGGGTATATTGTATTTGTGCAAAATCCAAATGTATGTAACAGGCAGAAGGAAGCATCTCCGACCCCATAAGGTATAAATATTCTTGATCAGCACCAATAGCCGAGTCGATCTAGCCATGTCCGTCTGTCTGTTCGTCCGTCCGTCCGTATGTATGAACGGAAGGATCGCAGAACCTTTAAGAGACTTGAAATTTTAGATGTAGATGCTCCTAGTTCCCGCGCAGATCGAGTTTGTTTCCGATAATCGATAACTTACTCCGTTTCAAACAATCGATAAAAATATCGATAGATATCGATATCCTGTTTTTTGGGCAATTTTGGTAAATAATAAGAGCTAGAGTCACCAAACTTGACATATACCTTCTAAAATAGAATATATATATGCATTTGATGTTGGAAGAGGGTTCAGGGTATCCCCTAGTCGGGAGCTCCCGAATAGAACCTCTTTCTTGTTTTGCTCTTTTATTGGCAAAAGGAGCAGCAGGAACATTCTATCGAATTCCTGTGTAACTACAATTGTTTTGGATAGTGATGGATTATGGAAAGCAAAGTGAAATGGTTCTGCAATTTTTAATGAAACATCATCATTGTCTGCCGAATTTCCCCCCTTCGGACGACTGTCCCCTGGAGTGCGATTTTTGTTGAATTACTGTTTGTGGGCGATTATTGAAAATGACAAGTGCGACTCGTGTTCCATTTAGAAATCCATCTAAAATGCTATGGCATTATTATTACTTAATGGCATCCATCACCCCATGCACTACGGCCCGATTCCGTATCCCTTAGTGCTTCGGCGCAGTGCCCAAAGCCAATAACCATCGCCTTTTTTAGAGATGTTATCTCTTTGGATCAGCTTCGGGGGTTTGATGCCTTGTTGAAGCATGTGCTGCGGTTAGATGACGACCCTAATGTAGCCACAAGGCAATGTGTCCTGCTATCCCCCCTTACTCAAAACAGATTCAGCGATATGCAAATTACGGATTAGTTTGCCGCGAAGTGTAATTTTTGTGTCTCGGCTTGACTTATTAAATATACATCTTGAATGAATATTGAATCTCATGAACAAGCAGCAGAAAGCATTGAGCAGAGATATTATTATTAAAACTTTTTTGTTTTTTTATGTTCTGGGTCTATTATGGTTTTGACCAAATGTAAGCGCTTACATTCCTATTCCGTCCCATCTCAGAGACTATAGGAGCTAGTGACTAATATCAAACCTAATATCAAACAAGTAAGAGGTTCTAGTCGGGAGCTCCCGACTAGGGGATACCCTGAACCCTCTTCTTCCAACACCAAATGCATTTATATATATTCTTTTTTAGAAGCTATATGTCAAGTTTGGTGACTCTAGCTCTTATTATTTACCAAAATTGTCCAAAAAACAGAACAACATAGCTGCCATAGGAACGATCGGTCGAAAAGTAGCTTCTTGCATGGAAAACTTTTTGTTTTTCAGATATCTTAACCATACTCGTCATTAACTATTTTCCCTGTGTTTCTTAGACACGGGCAAAGCACTAAGAGTGTGGATTATGAAAAGGTTGGGTCTTAAAGGATATTAAATCATCGGTGTGCCGAAGATAGTCTTTGTTTCACGTTCTTATGATGACACGCGAAAATTACAATTATATGTCGTCGAGTGTGTGAATTTAATTAGCCAGCCAATTCGTAAAGCACATGTTATCAAGATATTTGTTAAATTCAAGGGTGTTACGGAAATTCCGAAAGTGGAACACAATACATTCCAAATAAGGCACTATTGATTCTTATTGCTTTTGAGTCATCATTGTCGCACGTGTTTTTGTTGAACTTGGCTGTGTTTTTGTTGTACACAAAATGGAAGCCAATAATTTATCAAAAATCGCTACAATTTGAATGGAAGTCAGCATATTAACTGGGAGCTACAATATGACACTTAAGCCTTCTTGTTTTCGCGTATAACATATTTATTCAAGCACATTTGCGTCTTGGCTACTCGCAAATGCACTTAACAGGCACGTGTCCCGTCAGAAAAGAGTCCGGCGCAAATGTAACAGCCGTAATTGAATTAACAGCACGAGCCTGGGGTGAGATAAAGGGGGTGAGAGACGAAAGGCACACGACACAGATGTAAGCAGATACTGACACCAATATTAGGAAGGGATTAATCAAGTAAAACACAAGTAAATAAGCACACATATTATTTACATAGATTACATATGCAAAATTGAACAAATTTAAGAACAAATATAAGCTTAATATTCACACTTTCAGATGAGAATCGCGATGTCAACATGAATTCCGAAGAGGATGTGAAGCGACAGCGCTTGGCCTACGGCGGAGATCAGATATACACAAATGTAAGTGTTTTAAATATTTTGTAATTAACAATAGAGTTGTCACTCAAATACTTCTAAAAGTATTGGAAGTCTTTTGTTGAGATGTAAATGGCATGTTTATAGACTGAAATTTGTCAAATGCTATTAGAACAGAGATTCAGCTCAATAAGCTGCCTCAGATTAGATGCTATATTTAATTTAGTTTAATACTTCAAAGTCGTCTTCTGGTCCGTCCGTTGTATCTCCATTTATATTATTTACTATAGCATAAGGTCGGCTAAACTAAATATATTCATAAAATTGAGAAGTTTTAAGTTTCGCCCACAATTTTCACCTGAACAGGTGGATTTAGCGAAAATACTGAAAAATCGAGTTTTTTTTAGTTGAGGCTAGAATTCCCCGAAATTATGTTTTAGCACTTTAGATAAGGTAACTTGTAACCAATTACTCAGCTAAAACAAACAAATTTAAATACAAACAAGTAAGAGGTTCTAGTCGGGAGCTCCCGACTAGGGGATACCCTGAACTCTCTTGTTCCAACATCAAATATATATATATATATATATATATTCTATTTAAGAAGCAATATGTCAAGTTTGGTGACTCTAGCTCTTAACAAACAACAAACAAACTCGATCTGCACTGGAACTAGTAGCACCTACATCTAAAATTTCAAGTTACTGGCTCTTATAGGTTCTGAGATCTTATAGGTTCTGAGAACCTTGCGTTCATACATACGGACGTACGAACGGACGGACGGACAGACAGACGGACATGGCTAGATCGACTCGGCTATTGATGCTGATCAAGAATATATATACTTTATGGGGTCGGAGATGCTTCCTTCTGCCTGTTACATACATTTGGATTTTGCACAAATACAATATACCCTTAAACCCATTTTTAACGGGTTCAGGGTATAAAAAAAAAAAACAAATCCTAAAAAAGTTTTTTGATACAGAAATGCTGCAAAAGGTTTTGACAACTAAAATAATTATTAAAAAAAAATAAAAAAATATTCCGATTAAAAAAACAAACTAATAAAACTCCTTGAAATGTTATTAAACGTTAAGTTCAAATAAACTTTGCTTATATTTGCGAATATTGATTATTTATTTTTTCTATGAAACCTTTCAAGATTTGGTCTGGAAAATGGTGCATCAAGGATGAGCACAAACTGCTCTCCGAGCTCGGTAACTTCACAACGACCAGCACAGGTAGCGCCCCTGCCTATTTCGAGGCACCAAATGGATACTCGACGAGCACAATATCCTGTCCAGGAGTTGGGAGTGCTGTGGGGGGGAACGACTCGTCCATGATGTACGACAGCATAGCCTCCATATCCCAGGGCCAGAGCACGCTGTACACACCGCCCATCGGACCCTCAATCGGTTAGTAAATGCGAAAAGAAACAAATTCCTTTTACTCTTGACAACAGTCAAATTATTATTGTTATTATTTTTGCATTTGGATTTTTATCGTATTTTATAATTTTAATTGTGCACATTTCTTGACAAAACTGTAGGCGGCAGTTCTTTGACGCCCCTAATGCCTTTAAGCTTGCAAGACATGAAATTCAGTGCAAATAATCAGGAGCCAATCATTTCGCCCTTTTACACAGGTAAGGCATTGCCCACAGCAATTGCTAAAGGCTACAAGCATTTATCCCAGCTCAAGCTAAAAGACATAGGGTCTACAATAGCGAAGAAATTATCAATAATTAATAATAGCACTCAGCCAAGACGAGTTTTCGTTTATTAGATATATGTTTAAAATATGTTAAAGATTTAACTGAAGCTACGGTCAAAACAGGCAGACAATTTATTTATTTATCTATTTATTTATTTTTATACCCTGAACCCATTAAAAATGGGTATAAGGGTATATTGTATTTGTGCAAAATCCAAATGTATTTAACAGGCAGAAGGAAGCATCTCCGACCCCATAAAGTATATATATTCTTGATCAGCATCAATAGCCGAGTCGATCTAGCCATGTCCGTCTGTCTGTCCGTCCGTATGTATGAACGCAAGGGTCTCAGAAATTTCAGAAGTAGATGCTCCTAGTTCCTGCGCAGAGTTTGTTTCCGATAATCGATAACTTACTCGGGAGAACCTCTTTAGGTCTCTAGCTCTTATAGGTTCTGAGATCCTTGCGTTTATACATACGGACGGACGGACGGACGAACGGGCGGACGGACGAACGGACGGACAGACAGACGGACATGGCTAGATCGACTCGGCTATTGATGCTGATCAAGAATATATATACTTTATGGGGTCGGAGATGCTTCCTTCTGCCTGTTACATACATTTGGCTTTTGCACAAATACAATATACCCTTATACCCATTTTTAATGGGTTCAGGGTATAAAAATGTGTCTGCCATATCGAATCGGATCTGTGCAATTTTAAACTGGTTTATTGCTCTGTTCTTTTAAACAGAAAGCTTTAAAGGCTATTGAAATTAAATTGAAACTATATAAAATTAGGTAGAAATAATTTTAGTTAGTTTGATCTTCGGCCAAAATCAAATTTGTGTCACATTTGTGACGTTCATTGGCCAAAAGGATGAGGAAAGAGGTTCTAGACTCGCCATCTGCGGCCATTTTGGAAATCAGGCGCGTAGAGGTCAAGGGTCATTATTGGGAACAAAGTTAGAAACTGGTTAACTAAAGGTTACCAGAATTCGTACTCGGAAAATAAAAAATGAAATATAATTCCATATTATAAAGTTAAATCTTATTGTATTGAAAAATGACTACAGAGCCGCAGAGAAAATAGAATCGATGTTTAAGTCTTCTCGAACAGTTTTGAGCGTAATAACTTAGATTTGAGATAAATTAAACTAAATGATTGATGCCTTTTGATTAGCAATTGCCATTGAGAACGGCAATTACCCGACAATTACAAGCTTGGATAACACCAATAGCCCGGCGGTGGTAAGTGTTAACGATGCAAGTCCTGGCAATTGCAATAATTCGCCGAGCTTGGCGGCAATAAGAAATGAACAAAGCGAGCCGAGTGTAGATAATCTAAAGGACTCGGTCCATGATGTGGCCAGAGATGAGAATGCCAACAACAAAAGCCTGCGCAATGATTTGGGCAAGCAGCGCGGGATCAACCATGTGGACAACCTTCATCTACCCATTGCTCACCTTATGCCCGAACCAGTTCCAGTTCCAGTTCCGGATCACCAGCAGCATCAGCAGCAGCTGTCGAGCAATGGAAACGCCAATACCTCATCACCTCTGATAGTCCCTCTGGCCAATGCGAATAGCTCCTCCTCGGCCGAGGCAGGACGTCCTGATGTCGACTATAGCACGGCTATATATGCCACGCCCACAATGCTACCCAGTTTTAGCCACTACTCCGCAGGCAAGTTGTCCTACTCTCGACTCTCGCACTCCTGGCAATCTCTCAGCACAATACTTGGTGGTGGCACTTACGGTTTTTTTACCTACAGTCAATAATATATCTAAGGCTCATCAGGCATCAAAAATTGCAAAGTTTTAAGATAGAAATGTTCGCATATTTATTTATATGTTGATTAATTTGCTTGCATAATTTGTTCTACTCTTCATTAGTTTCAATATGGTTTTCATTAACTTACACATTTGATATTAATCAAACGAATTATTCTCTTGCAGCGTGCGGCTCGGTAGTGCCCAGTGCGGATTACGCCTACAGTCCCGCCTATACACAATATGGCGGCACCTACGGATCCTACAGCTACGGTACTAGCAGCGGCCTAATAAGTAAGTGACCATAAGCAAACAACTCGGTACTAGTACGAGTTGGGCGTGTCCGACAGAGCCCCGTGCAGAGCGCCGAGCTACCTTTACCATCATTCTAGCTGCCTTCAAAATATATATATATATATATATATATATATATATATATATAATATATTTTGAAACTGATCTGACGGTAAATAAACAACTTTCATACAACCGTTTTCCGCCAATTTACCAGTGTTGCGGAAAACGGTTGTATAGCTCTGAAAATAAAATGAAGCAAATAGGACTAAACTTAAAACTTCACCAAAAAAATCTTAGAATCACACTTTTTACCGGGGATGTTTTGATTCTGCGAAAAATGTGAAACACGTCCCAAATGATTTTTCATATAGATACTTGAAAATGAATTTGAGCGCGAAACGTCATCTACCAAATGTTTGGCCCCCATTTCCACCAAGGAGAAATACATTTTTGATAAAGAGTGAAACACCTACACCCTTCAAATAAATTTGAACAAATATCTTTGAAATTGAGTTTAAGACCAATCGGATGATAAACAAAAAAGTTTCAAACACACGTTTTTCGCGATTTTTCCACACTTGCGGATGGAATTTCCTGAAACCCCGTCTTAACAAGTTATCAATAGAAAATGATGAACAATTGTTTATTATAATGAATTTGTGTAAATATATGTAACAGGCAGAAGGAAGCTTTTTTAACCCTATAAAGAATATATATTCTTGATCAGCATCGATAGCCAAGTCGATCTAGCCATGTTCGTCTGTTTGTCCGTCCGCATGTATGAACGCAAGGATCTCAGAACATATAAGAGCTAGAGACTTAAAATTTGGTATGTATGTCCTCCTAGTGCCTGCGCATCACGAGTTTGTTTCCGATATTCAATAACTTGCCCCGTTTCCAAGTAAACGATCAAAATATATATCGAACTCGTGTTTTTGAGCAAATCTCTAGTTTTCATTTTCTCTCTATCTATATTGTTGTTTACGATTTTTATGCTTTGTAGATCCACTTACCTATTGATGCTTCCCAAGAAAATATATATATTATTATATTATATATTATAGGGTCGTGAATGACTCCGTGCTATGCCATTAGCTCATGTTACCTATTATAGCCTTTTCCCTTCCAAAAAGACGAATTCAAAACTAACTTGAAATGTTTATTCCCTTCAGATTCATCGTACTACTATGAAGGCGGCCAGAATCAGGCGTCCCTTAACCAGGATTTACGGTCCCCGCTTGCCGCGACCAGGGCCAACTCCCTGGTCTCCGCCGCATCGCCGACGGGCAGTGCGTGCACAAAGTCGGAAACTTCAGATATATTTCTTGTTTAGTGTAGCAGCAGAAGGTAACAACAATTATTATTCATCGACCAATCATTAGAATGCCTGATGGATCTTCGTAAAAGCAGACACTGGAAAGAAACTGGAAAAACAAGGAGTGTTTAGATTTAACAACTGTTCCAAAGAAACATACATATATAGCAAGTACTTAAAGGTATTTATCTAAAAGTAGGCAAGGAAAGACAGACAACAAGTCTGTTGTTATTCGAATTGAAGATGAACTGAACTTAACGAGAACAATTCTCATACATTAGTTTATTTGCATTTAAAAATTGATCGGTAGGTATTGCATTTTGAGATAATGAGCAGCAAACGATACTTCAACCAGACCTTAACATACTAATATGTATTAATAATTATTAAGATTACAATATAATATATCAACTAAGAACGTTGCAGTCGAATGTCGAATACCGACTCAATACTCGGTTCACATCGTAGTTGCCGATTAAATCAGTCGAAACAAGTAAGATTTCTAGCTCTAGACGGGAGTGCCTAATTAGGAGATACCCTGTACCCTGTACCCTGAACCCTGGAATGTGGCCCTCAACAGTGTGTTTATATTAAATCGCAACGCTTTTCATTTCCTTTTTTTTGGTTATTTCTAATACAATTTTTCCAAGAGGAGGTATCCAAAAGGTAAATATTTGTAATCTGTTTCACTATACGAGAAACTACATACACAATTTGAAGTATCAATCTATTACCATCTCGTCAATTCAATTTTTGTCGACATTTTGAGAATGCCGGATAAATCAAAAAAATCGAATAAGAAGAGCTATCTTCGGCATGCCGAATGCCTACTTTTCTTAAAAAAAAAAACAAAATGTTTTCAGTACAACAAATTAAGTTTCGACCGATTGTTCTAGTGGCAGCTATGTGATTTAGTGGTCCGATCCAGCCATTTCCGACATATATATTGGTTGCAACAGAAAGAGGAACTTCTGCAAAGTTTCATGACAATAGCTTTAAAACTGAGAGACTAGTTCGCATAGAAACAGACAGACGGGTAGACGGACTTGGCTATGTCGACTCAGCTGTCGATACTGAACAAGAATATATATACTTTATGGGTTCGGAGATGTCTCCTTCCTTGCGTCACACATTTCGAGCCAAAAATATAATACCCTCTGCAGGGTATTAAAATGATAAGCTTGTTCTGCATATGGTACAGAAGAATATATATTTTGAAGTTTCAGGAATTGTACTTTTCGACATTCTGCTCAAGATTATATATACTTAATGCTTCCTTCTGCCTGTTACATTTGCATAAAAAACATTGTACCCTTTTTATTTTACCGATTTTCAATGGGCTAAGGGTATTCGCACTCTTCTATACTGGAACTTTGGCAAATATCGATTCTTACACTTTGTGAACCGAGTAGTATAATACATTAACTGGATACGAGTATATGTACTCAAATGTTTTGTTTTAGCAAAATATAATAAGAAATAATTAAATTCAGCTTCTTAATAGGATAAAAATTGAAACCAAAATCTCTAGCAAGAGAAACTCAACCAAAAACTATGTATGCAAGTTTTTCGAAAACTTTTAAAATATGTAATTTATGTGCTAGGCTTAGATTTTGATTTATATTATATATTAAATTTACATGCATAATTATAATAATTACCTATATGTATGTACATATGTTGAAATTGTACATAGTGATCGTATAAAAGAATGTTATTTTAATTATTACATACTTATTTAAAAGGCAACAAAAGAAATCATATGAACTGATATTCAGAACAAGCCTTGCATATTTCATCCAAGAATGTCCAAGAATACCTTTCGACGAGCACTAAAAAAAAAAAACGAAATAAACAAAATAAATAAATTGGTTGGCAAAATGGAATATGTTCAAAACTTATATTTTAATTCAAACATATTATTTACACAAACACCCACAAAATAATAATTTTCGTGCTGGTGATACATCGAACTGTATTTGTACTCGTTAATGTAATTCGTGGATGTAAATAGAATATAAGCAAGCACAAACCAAATTCTGTATAAATACATTCATACACAGTAAATACTATTCAAATACAAACTAAAAGCAAAATACATAAGAGCATAATTAATGCATTTAAAATAATTTCGAAATCAATGCAAGACAGCTCTGCGCGACAAGGAAATATCCTTAACCAGTACCAAACTGCCATTGCCAACACTCTAAATACTTTTTACTATACTCAAAAACAATTAAGAGTGCTCTAATCGGGAGTACCCGACTAGGAGATACCCTGAGCCTTCTTCCACCAGCATTAATTTAACAATTCCGCAGATATGCGAAAATATTGCTGCTCGAAAATGCTGAGTTTCTTGAAAATATCTTTGAAAACAGAGTATTTTGCCAACTATTAGACCGATCTCTCCCATAGCAGAGATATAGTGGTCCGATGCTGATGATTGCATATATATAGGAGGTGGGGGATACGTTGAACCTTCTTTTACCAACACACCAAATTCAGCTCGCGCTAAGAGTTCGTTTGCTTTGGGAGTAATACAAATACTTTTATGTATAAAAAAAAAAGTATCCCCAAGAGGTCTTGGACCCGGAATCAACCGGAACTACTTGGCATCACCTCTGTTCAACAGTCATACCAGCAATTTATTGTCGACCTTAATGAAATTTTAGCAGTAGATTTAATTGTGCGATGGACAATTGCTTAATTGTGGTCTAAAATCTAAAAACTGAAGGGATTTGTTTAAAATAGAATATCAATATCGACCTTTATCGATTGCTTTGAAGCGGGGAAAGTTATCGCTTATCGATTAGACGGTCGGACAGACAAGCAGATGGACATGGCTAGATCACCCCGGTTATTGGTGCTGATCAAGAGTATATATACTAAGGGGCTGCAGATACTTCCTTTTGCATCTTGCATACATTTGCACGCAGGCATAACGCATAACATTTTTACCCATTGATTTGAAAATTTTAGTTACTTTCCCGTAGTTGCATCTAAAATAATATTTTGCATACATATGTTTGATGTCGATGTTGTATTTGTGTTCACATGTTTAATGGAAGAATTTACATGCGTGTACCTTAGTTCTCTTAACATTGATATAATAATATAAGTAGTATATTTAATAATTATATTACATACAATTGCTTAATTGCGTTTAATACAGAGTGTAGCGTACAGGTTACAATAAGTATTTAGAGCTGCAGAGTTGGGTATTCTCAATTAATTATACATATACATAGTCGCCCCAAATCCCCAATCAGCGTTATCTCCTTTCACTCGTGTGATGTATGCCTAGCAAAATCCTTTTTAGTGATTTGATTTCATCTGATAGTTTGCCATCGAATGAACAGAGAACAAGGAAATTGAAATTTCCTTTCGATCTTGGCCTTTGCTTAGCTAAAATATTTACGATAAGCTAACGAATTCTATTAGAAGAAAGCCTAATGCTCTCGATCCGTTCAGATCAGCGGAGACTAGCTTTTACGTAACATAGTTCAATAATCGCCGACTGGCCTGCAAATTAGTTAAATCAGTGGGCCTTGGGCTTGAATCGCCTACTTGTTCACAAAAAATGCCGGATTAGGAGACAGATTTGGCGGCATGGCGATCATGTTGCCACTACCTTGCTGCTGTTGCTGCTGCTGCTGGCTCCTTGTGTTCGTTGCGTACAGTTGTTGTTGAAAGCTGTGGTATTGCTGGGCATACTTTAGATCGTTCGACGAGGGACCAACAAAGTTGACTCCTATTCCACCGCCGGAGCTGCCGCCGTTGCCAACAGACGACATAAGGTTGCTGCTATTGGGCCCACTCATTCCAGGATGACCTTGACCCTGTACCTGAACCGGCGCAGGGCCTTGCATGCCCACGTTTGGGACAACTTGAGATTGACACATGTTGCCCGGTAGAGGCTTTATGTGCTGTCCCTTCGGTTGCCCTTGTGCTGCTGCAAACAATGCTGGCGAACTATTACACGAGCCTGGGCCATTGTTGAACATCACCGATGGATCGTTGCAGTCCAGGCCATCCGAAGCGCCAGGAAACTGGCCCTGGTGTCGATTGACAATATTGCCACCAGGCGCCTGCAAACGGACGCCCAATCCACCATGCTGCCGCATGCCGTGGGGCCTCATGCCACGAATCATGGGCGTTTGACCAATGCTCATGTCATGGCCTGGCATACCCACTCCTAACGCACCTTCATCGTCGAGGCCAGTTAGTTGGTTACAGTTCTGGAAAAAGTTCATGTTGATTCCGTTGCCGCCGTGATTGTTGCCCATTTTGTTTTGTTGTTGCTGCTGCTGCTCGCTGGGCGAGTTTATATTCATGGGCCCGGCTCCAATCATCATAGGTCCGCTGCTGCCATCATTTCCCATCGTGTGCCCGCCGACGCTGTTAGCCATTTGTGGATTGGCATAGCGCTGCAAGAACTCCAAGCTGGGTGCCATGCGCACATTGCCATTATTATTGCTATTGTTGGTGTTGTTTTGCGGCCGGACTGGCATATACTGTATTGTGTTCGGGGTGCTGGCCTTTACTTGTATATTTGGATTAAAGTTGGGCCCAAAATTAACGGGCATCCGACCCATCATACGAGCGCCTGGCGGTAATATGCCATGATAACCCGGCCCAGGACCCACTGGACCCGATCCATCACGTACCACACCGTTGGGTCCTGGACTGAACCCTGGCCCCAAGCCAGCCATCTTGGGATTAAGCATGCGCTGCCCCATTGAATTTATCAACGGATTTATGGGATGGCAATTGTTGGGCGCATTGCTTCCAGCACCATGGCTCATGTGATCCATACTCGTCGCATCCAAACCGGGCACCATGCCGCCGCCATGCTCCATGTTCATATCAACCGGGCCCGGACCCATCATATTCATCCCGCCGGCGGGACTTCCCACGCCAGATACACAGCTGGTCAGCTGCTGCGACATCTGTGCCAACGACGATATCGGATCAAAGTTCTGAGCCATTTTGTTCGGTGGTGGTCGATTGCTGCTGTTAGGATTCAGCGGCATATTATCGGCTCGACGAGCAAATTGTACAGGTTGTCCGCCAGACACGCAATTTTGACGCTGCAAAAAAAAAAAGAAGAATCTTTATTGATGAGCTTTGAAAAATAGGCAGGATAGTCGTCCAGACAGCCGGACACTAAACAACTCGAATATGCGTATTAAAGTTTCTTGGGAATCGTAATTATTTACATTTACTTCCAGAGGATTATTGCCATTGGGGCCTTTGTATGCATTCATGGCAGTGTTTGAATTATTTTGCAATTGTGGGTGCGCATTAAAGTTCAGCCCAGGGCTGGTTGCCGGAAATCGCGAATCCATATTGTTGGATTCGATAAGATGATTCGAAGAGTTCGGGTTGGCATTACCGTTGCCAGGCGAGCGAGGTCGCTGCGGACTTGGCCGTGTGCTCTTCAGATCACCTAAAATGAAGGAAATGAAATGAATAGTTCTTTTTATTAAAGTAATTCAAGTAAGTAATTACCGCCACTTGATGTTGAGTTAAACGATTCGAGTTCCTTGGGCGAGAGGTGCGCCAGCGGAGTACTGGGATTGCTGTTTAGATGATGATTCATCACGTTTGCCGGGTTGCCGCCAGCACCGCGATGTCGACTTGAAGGCGATCCGGCGGCATCTGCTTGAAAACAGTTCTTGGATGTTGTTATGGGACCCATATTTGCAGTGGTGGATACGCTCGCCGCAGATGAGTTTGGTGTCGGCAGCTCCATGTTAGGTGAATTCGATGGCAATCCAAGGGCTCCGGCAGTGCGGGGGGATGGCAGGGAGAGATTATTGGGACTCGATGGATTTGGTGATTGCGTAGCTATTGGCACCGATGCCGACCGTTGAGTGGGATGATAGGGCGGCGGAGGACCTTGAACATTATTACGCATTACCGGATTTGATGGGTTAACAATGGAGCCCGCATTGCTACCAGAACCAGATGCAATCAGTGGCTGCTGAGCACCTGGACCGCCGGCACCTGTACCTGGGCCAGGCATGCCGGAAGGCCGGCAAGCCGGTTTGCCAACTTTTAATCGTTCCTCGAAAAACTGTTGTTGTATCTTTGTCCATTCCATCGGTGCCATACCGCCTTGTGGCATTGGCATTGTCTCTTGGCTACCGATTCCACCCTTATCGCCTGCTCCAGCCCCAACCCCTATGGCCATAACGCAGTTTGTGTTGCCAAATCCGCCCATCATTTCAGGCGAATCGGCCATCAGGTTGGGATTATTTGAGCACTGCATTCCAACATTCATATTGACGTTCATACCACCACCTCCTCCAGGTCCTCCGGAAGCGGCAGCTGCTGTAGCTGCAGTTGTTTGTGGGCCACACGACAGATTGCTTTTTGGGCCACTATTGCACGACATTACGGCTCCGATTTCACCAATAACATCAGCAGGCAGCGGCATCAGCACATCCTCGCCCAGCTGTACGGGCATGTGATCCTGTGATTTCTGTGCCGCCTGCATTTGTAGCTGCATTTGTCGCATTTGGGCATTCGTAGCGCCTCCGCCCGGCATGCTCATCATGATGCTGCCCATTGCCGAGTCGTTGGGCAACTTGTTTAACTGGCCGGGTCCACTATCCTGCTCCGGAAACAGAAACTGATTCATTTTCTTTAGTTTGGCGAGCTGCTCCTCCCGATGCTGGCGCTGCTGAGGTGTCAAGTTTTCGTCCGGCACTTTGACACCTTGCAATGATATTATATTGTTGTCCGTGCTCAGATCACTGTTGCACTTGCCCAGAACGCTGTCGACGCTACCTTCCATCAGCTTCATGGCATGCGACTCGCCAGCCGCCGTCCCTTGCGCGCCATCAAGACTATTCCGATTGACGGCAGACTGATTGGCGTTTGCCGTTTCCCAGCACATTAGGTCGCTGTCATTCACGAGCGAATCGGCCGGGGATGGGTCAGCAAAGGCATTTCGCTTGTTGCTACTATTATCTGCTTGACTGTTAAAATGTGACTTGGGGCCAGCAGCAGCTGCCACACCTGGTTTTTGCTGCGGTTGCAGCATTTTGGCCAGATTGGGATTTGAATTTGGATTTGGATTAAGGTTGTTATTGGAATTCGCATTTGGGTTAAGCCAACTTTGGCCACTGCCAGGTCCAGGCATGTTGCAAATACCCAGGCCCAAAGAGTTTTGTCGCTGCAGCTTATTCATTTTCATTGGATTCTTCATAAAGAAATCCTCAAGGAAACTCTTTGTCGCCGGCTGCGTGCAGTGGTAGGCAATTATCGTCTGAAACTGGCCGCTCAGCACCGACTCTGCTCCATTATTAGCCAACTGTGTGGAGAACACAAATATGTGGTTCTGCTGTTGCATATAATCCAAACAGTTGCCCAGCGCATTGCCGACGCTGTTGTTGCCGCCCATGAAATTTGATGCACCAGGCGACACATTGATGCCAATGCCAAGCGATACTCCAAGCCCAGACCCAGGCGCAGGCCCGGACCCAGCTGGGCCACCGACTGGCCCGCCGGTAACATTCGAACTGGACGCATTGGCATCGTTCATTCGATCAGCATCCAATGAACTGACAAGTGCATTGCATCCACCGATATCATTGTCGCTGCTCAGTCCCATTATTGATGACGGCTTTTCGGTGATATTAGAGCTCAGTTCCATTTTGACTGGTGGCATGATATGAAATGGAGAAATGGCATAAAGTTCATTTATTAAATGAGCAAATCTAAAAGCTAACCCTTACCAGGTGTAACGGATTGATCCGGGCCAATATTACCAGAGGGACCACCAATGGATCCAAATCCAACTGGTGACATGCTTGGGGAAAAGTTGTCTTCCTTCTTCATATTCCCTAAGCTGCCCAACAGATCAGATGTCTCCTCTTTGACAGCATTCGCAGCCGCCGCAGAAGTAGCGCCGACTTTTGTATTGCTGTTGCCAACTCCTCCTGAGCTATTGTTTCCGCTGACTTTCTCCAGCGCTGAGTTTCCAGACGTGCTCGCCTGTTTCGGCTTGGCTGTTAAAGATTGGACAGATTGCCACAATTATAGATTACATTATAATCCTTTTAAATACTTATAGGAAAGGCGATGTTATAGTATGTTTAAATTGAATTATCACACGGATAATTTTACTTGGGAGTGCTCGACTAGGACTTTCTAGCATATTCATGAATTATAGTCTCACATATTATTATTATTCTATTGCCATTATTATTATTAGTTAACAAACAACCTATTTTATACCCACGCTTAGACGCTCAGTTTCACAGATCTTTGTTCAAGTTCATTTGAGGCGTGTTTCAAACATTTCGGCAAATCTGTGCCTTCTAAGTGGAAATGGATTCAAAGATTTGGTGGGTGAAGGTTTCTGCTCATCCAAGGTCAGAGGGCTTTGAGAAAACGTATCAAATAAATTCGGACAAAGCAAATAGGAGAAAAAATCTTGAATAGCCTTTTTGCCGAGGATGCCACTGGATTCTGTGAAGCATGCCTCAAATGATCTTTCGTAAAGATATTTGAAAAATGAATTTTAACGCGAAATTTCACTAAGGAGAAATGGATTTTCCGAAAAGCGTGAAACAGCCCTGAAACGAATTTGAACAAAGATCTTTGGAAATGTGTTCGGGTCCTTTTTTTTCATACTTGCGGGTGACATTTCAACTTTTACATTTTTCAATTCTTCCGATTATGAGAAAGTTCGCCACAGGAATATAATTTGTAATCTATCTAACTATGCTTAAATTTGAGACTCAAGGGCGTTTGGTGAATGTCTTTAGAAAACAATTTTATTTAAATTTTGAGAAGATTTCATTTATGAGTCGTGAAACACAAAAAGTTATCCGTTATGATAACTTTAAAACAGAGTTTGCTTAGAAGGAGACAGCCCGACATTGCTCTAGCGAATGGACTTTTGTACTAATCAATTATATATCTACTTTATAGGGTCGATCCTCAATATTATTAAAAAGGTTCAAAAAATATTAGTGCAACGTGCCCGGCCCCAAAGAACTCTTTAAATGGAATTTGTAGCGATTGGGATAATGTTAAATAATTGAATTATTAATCTCTTACCACAATCCTCGTCCTTTGGGCTGCTCTTCTTTTTTTTTAGCAGATCCTCCTGGTGCAGGTCACCTTCCGAATTCACCCTCTGCGAGAGGCTGCCGGAATTGTTGCTGTTGCTGCTGTTGCTGTTCGTATTCGAGTGATCGCCGGTATTGTTTGGTGGCGAGTTGGCGCTATTATTTGATAAATTCTGTCTGAGAGCGCTGGCTGGGACCGGGACACCGCCGCCGCTACCGCCAACACCCACATCTGATGTCCCAGATGCATTCACGTTGCTTGTATTCGGATTTGTTGTGTTTTTACTACTGTTGTTGTTATTATTACTGCTGTTGTTGTTGTTGTTGTTGTTTGCGCTGCTTGTGTTTTTGGCAGGTGCGTCCACTTCATCTGACATGGTTTGGTTTTGATTGCTTGCGTTCTCTAAAAAAATAAAACAAAAATCAGTATGTTATTGTTTCTTAAGGGATTCACGCTGCCTGTCTCACCTGGCGATAAAGTGGAAAAGGGTTCGGTTTTCACCTTAACCGTTTTCAAGCCATCAATTTTATTGGCTCCATCGGGGTTCGTTGGTGATGATTGGCTGGCGCCTCCAGTTGTTGCGGACAGCATTCTAGATTTGCCTGCATGGAACACTCGAGTGTGTTCGTTCTGCTCCGGTTTGGGATTGCTTGGACCGTCTGTATTTCTATGTGAATTTGGGTTATTTTTTGTCCATGGTCGCAGTGGAGAATATTATCTCCGGCTTACCCATTCAGTCTCACTTTACTTTATTTATTTCATTTAAAATACACACACATACGCTAATTTGTGTTTGTGTATAAACGCTTCCATTCAAACAAAACAACAAAAAAAAATTCTGTATACACACAAAACACACACACACACACAAATGACACAATTAGCTTGAAAAAATTATACTAGAATACAACGACACTCAACATGCCTTTTGCAGTGCTTGCACAATTATTTGATAGCGACTTATGGACAAATAAATATTGTTCGCTCAAGAATTTAATTTATTTTTATTTTGTAAATACAAATCGCACAGCCACTTGGCATGCTCCTTCTATGAAATACACAATGTGTTCGAAAATACTAAAAGTATTATTTTGGTACTGGTGTCTCGCGGTACGTTACGACTGCATGACGTGTACGGCAATAAAAATAGCGGATACTTACGAGTAACTGCTTGGCTTATTTCATAGAGAATACTTAAATGACACAGTATTTTAAAACAATTATCTAATTTCGGCCATTAGTCATGAATTTCTTTACGGTAAATAGATAAATTTAATATTCAGTATTTAGGAATTAAAACGGAATATTATATATTAAAATTCAAAAATAAATGAATGTAGATAGTAAATAATTTAATTTTTTGCAATTTTGCATTTAAATTTATTTGGTTTCGTGCTTAAAAACATAAATAAATGCATTTGAAAGTGACCGATACTTTTCCGATAACAAGTACCAAAATTCGACGCTAAGTCACCGCCGCTAATTTGACGCATGTAAAAGAGTAAACAATTTCTTACTCGCTATCGATAACACGCTTAGATGAATTCCATCACTACGATAATATATCAGACATTTATTTTGGTTAATTTCTTACAAAAGAAAATTTTACTACATCAAACAATTAATGAACTATTGAAAAAATACGTAACACCTAAATTACAGCTTTTTTTAAATATCGGATTTCACATGTTCACAAAATATACATATTTAGAATTATTTAGTAGTTTATAACCTTAGTTCCTGTATTACTTGGAAGATTTGCATTTAATTAAGATGTAATATTAGTTTCCATCAGAGGGTTTAACAGATTTCGGGCTTACAAAATTATTGCAGTTAATAAATTAAACGACAGAAGATGCTCGGAATCCAACTGTAACATAGAGTTGACAGGATCCTTATCAATAGTTTTTCGTTGCGAAATTTGTAGGACCATCATGAAATCTAGCACATGGCTAGATGTTATTTATTGCACAATTACTTCAGATATGATTCGTAAAGAATGAGTAGAAGAGGCAGCTAAAAAAATGATTGAAATTAAATAGTTAGTTAGGGATGCTTAAGTAATAAATTCCAAAGTTTCGCCTCCAAAATGACAACTATTTGCGGAATTTGGATTTGTTTTATTTATTGCATTTACCTTATTTATACATATGTAAGTATTTGAATGGGTCTACATACGCAAATGTACGCACTCCATTTATAATATTTGTAGTGTTCATTGTATGTGCATTGTATGTGTTTGCACCTCGTTTAGACTAAATTGACTAGCATATATCTTAGCACTGCATTTATATGAGTATTCGCATTCGTGTTTATATTTCTCTTTAATAACTGTTAAATAATAAGTAGTTTGCATATATATACCATATATATATGCAGACAGATAACTAATATAATATTATATATTTACTCATTCGTGCTACTTGTTTGGATTCTATTTTCAGTGAGAAAATATAAAGACATTAAACATTGGTATTTTTTTGTTGGTATTTGGTATTTGCAAAACTAAATAACCGTACATACTTATGTACATACATACAATATGCACATGTGTGTGTGTTTATGTATGTACATTTCTAATAGTACGCGAGTATATACATATACATATTTATATAGTTTAATGTCGATTATGTAAAAAGCATTACAGTATTTACACATAGTGTTATTTTTATGTGATTATGTTTAAATGACTTCAGTGTATTATTATTATTATTATTATATTTGTATTTAGTTGTACCTTGTTTATTTTATAAATTTGACTAGATTTACATAGTTACATTTTTTTTGACATTTTTTTTGTGAGATTTTAAAAGTTTGCATCACTCGGTTTCAAACGCATTTAATAATGTCTGTATTTACATGCATTTTCAAGTGTGTGTGTGTGTGTGTGTGTTCATTTCCTTGCCTTTTAAAGTGTGTGTGTGTGTGTGGGTGTGGGTGTGTACACGTCCGAGCTTGTCAAAAATGTAAACAAAAATATTGCGCTCGCAAAGGTTAGTACATACATACATATATTGCCACATCAAATGTACAGTACTATTTTCTACTACTTAACAGTATTGGGTAAGAGAAAGATTAACAAAGAAATGTCTTACAAAATAAGCTGAATTTTTAAGAATCAGGTACCAAAGAAATTTGCTTCATTTACAAGGACTTTTTTTAATGGTTTCATCACACAAAAACCATATATGCCTTAAATACTGAGCATATTTTATATTTGTTTTCCTTGAAAGTAAACCAAGTGAACCTTCCAAAGACTTTTCTGTACCACGTCATTAGTCCCAAAATGCTTATGGAATTGATTAGTTCTTTCATTTGAGAAAAAAAAGAAAGAAAGTACTCAACTAGAAGATATCTTCACACTTCGGCAAATTGTTTCTTGAATAACTTTTTTGAAGATTGAACATTTCCAAAATAAAAGTGCCTAGATTTTATGCTATATCTCAGTTGCATTGTTTGGAGAGGAATCCAAAATTGGGAAATTCATTCTGTATGTGTTACACAGGAAACACATAAAAAACACAGTTTGAGCGATTTTACCCAGAAGTTATCTATTTCCCATTTATAAAATTAGCGTTTTTTCCACGGCCTATTACTCTATTTAAGATATCACTTTTTCACACATTTTCCACCGTGGCAAATTTAAATATACCCTCACTTCCTTGAACAGCATGTTTCAAATTATATTTCATATTCTTTCTTTCCTTTTTTGAATATGAGTTTCAAGCTTCTGCTAAGTGCTTAAAAATTCTTCAAACATTTAAACTCACGCTTATAAAAGTCGCTAAGCTCTAGTTTTTTTTATGTACTAGAGTACAAGAAATTTAGCTGTAAATAAAAGAATTTAAACACAAAAAAAAATTGAAACATTTGATCATTTTTTCATAATAATGAACCTAGAAAATTTTGCTTGAAGCCAAAAAATAAATGTTCGTACCATTTTGCCAAAAAGTAGGAAATCTTTTACACCCATTTTCCACCAAGGAGCTGGGGATTTTGCGAAAAGTGTGAAATGAATTTGCACAAAGATCTTTTGAACTGAGTTTTAGGTTGATCGGATATTAGATAAAAAGCTGCTAGCATGCACTTAGATAACAAGGATAACTACAATAGGACAGCTTACGGATTTATTGGAAATAAATCATTGCTGAGTATCTCCTAGTTGTGCACCGTCGACCAAAATAGGGATGTGGTACCTCAAAAACCCCCCATTATATTATACCTGTGTAGGTGTAAGGGTGTAAGGATCAATAATTTCACATAGCTCTTGTGAGGAGAACGAACTGGAAACGAGGTTAATTGAAGTGGTGTAATTGAAGCTTGGCCGACCAACGATCATTTAGTTTTAATTTGGGATCTTTGTAATAATTTGAACCTAATCGAACCGATACAAGCTTTGCAGAGTTGATGCTAGCTAGCAAACTATCGTGACAATCAACGTCCACTTCTACCTGATTATTCAGGTACTCAATGCAATCGGCAACCCCTAAGCCATCAATGGATATGTCCGCCTGTTGCACAACCAAACTGGGCGACCATTGACCAGGCAACGAGTCCGGGTCGGAGTCTGGATGTGATCGCGTCTGAGTAGTTTGTGGGTGCGTTTCCTTTTCCGACTCCAGCTCGACTAGTTGAAAGTCGCGTAGATCATCGGGGCTTACGTTGAAGGCTGTTCTCACTATTCGATTCTTATGATTCTGAAATCTTTTGGTACGCTTAGATAAAACGATCTTCCTATTGGGACTTGGACCTGGACTCGTATTATTATCCGCATCCAATTCGGATTCGGAATCGGAATCGTTGTGGGTGTGGCTGTGGCTGTGAGTATAGGTGCGAGTGCAGGAATTCTGGTTATTATTTTCACTCTGGGACTGTTTGCTGCGCTGTGTTCTTCGCGTGTATTTGCCATTATGTCACAACATGTCGTCGTGCTCATCGCCATCGTGATCGTGATCGTCAACCAAGAAATCATGATGCTCCAGGTCCAGGTCCATTTCGCCCTCATCATCGAAGTTGCCCAGCGGCGACATGGCTGTCGTATGCATACTTCCGTAGTGCCCATGGGTTCCACTGTTGCTCTCCCTCTCATCCGTCTCCTCCTGATGCGGATGCCGACTGTGCTGATGCTGTGCATTCTTGGTGTCATCATCGCGCCACTTGTCCATGGAGCGTCGACGAGCGTTCATAAAGAAGTTACCCACCGTGGTTGGCTCCAGCCCCAGCTGGCGTGCAATTGTCACTTGCATCTCCTTTGAAGGCCTCTTTGTTTCCTAAAACAACGACTTCAAATTACACTCAATTGTCCCATAATTGTCGCGCTAACCTCACTAACCTTAAAAATTGCTTGTAGTGTCCGCCGCTGTAGATCCGTAAATACCAAACGTGGCTTTTTTGGCTGCGGCATTTGTTCTATATGCGGCTCCTCCTTGCGACGGCAATTGGACCCGGCGCCAACACCAGACCCCGCAGATCCGCCTAAACCGGCTACAGAGGATCGAACAAAATATATTAAATATTATATTAATTAACAATGTTCGAAAAATATTCAATAAGTCTACCCTCCATAGATTAGTCTCCCTCCAAATTTGAATCAAAACATCCAAAACTTGTATAGACCCCATTCACATAGGTCGGTCCATAAACATTCAGCGGTCCCAATCAATGGACTAAGTAAACTCATTGTTGTTGTTCATTACTTATTAACTTTCCAGCACAGGGGCTGATTCACATAAAATTGTAATTAAAACATTCAAAAATGGTCTAGACCCTATTCATATCGGTCGGTCCAGACACATTCCGAGGACCCAATCAATGGGCTAAGTAAACACTAGCTAAGAAACTCATTGTTGCTCTCATTACTCATCACTTATTAACTTTGCAGTTTGACAGACCTTAAGACCTTAAACTCCCGACTTGTCTGACTTATGGTCATGTCTGACATATGGTCAATATTTAACTTACCATTTCCTGAAATAGTCGACCCATGCGATGCATCCGAGCTTGTGTTGGTTAACACTACTGCGGGGGCCGTCGATGAGCCTGAGCCTGATGAGAAGACAACGTTCCCCATGCTACCCACACCCGAACCAGAACCGGAACCGGACCCAGAACCGGAACCAGTTGCTGGTCGCTGGGGTATCTGTGCGGCTGCCATGCGCAAGGCGGACATGCGCTGAAACTCTGGCTCTTGGAGCCATTTGAACATGCGGCGGAAGGTCTCTCGGCCCGATTTGAGCTTGGACCATGGCTTCGGGTTGCGCAATAGATCCGACAGCGTACCCTGCGATCGACAAAGCACACGCTGTGCAAAAATCGCCTGGGGTATGCTGTAACGCTTCAGCTCGGCAGAGATGCGTTGAGCCAGCTCCTTGGTATTGATCTCCTCCATGTCATTGGGACCATTCGCACGATTGTTGACCGCAGCAGCAGCAGTTGAGGAGACGTTGCTGGACCCCGATGCGACTCCAGTTAATTTTGGGGAATGCGTTGACAGCTTGGGCTGGGTCTGTTCACCGACGAATCCGTTCTGCTGTTGATTTATATTGCACACTTCCAAGTTATTGTTTAGGTTATGGTCGCTGTTGGGATTGCATTCATTGCCGTCGTGCTGACCTTGATGACCGTGCTGTAGGTGTTGCTTTTGACTCTGTCGCTGGACAATTTCATCAATGCCAACAGCAATGGAATTATCGCCGGGTGGTGGTGTCGGCGAAAGTGAGACAACAACGGGCAAGTCAACCGACAGATTTGCAACGGATCCGTTTATATGCGGCAGCGTAACAACGGATGCCGGCGAGTGCAAGGACATGGAGACTACGGAACCGGCAGACACCGAATGCGGACTAAGCGTTGGACTGTGCTGCAACCTAAGCTGAGAGCTGCGACCGCCAGTTGAATTGTTGGATGTGGAGGACGTGGCCATGAGAAGTTCATGCTCATGATGATGATGATGTGTGCGGTAGGATGATTCATAATCGCTGACAACGACCCCGTCGGAAATGCCACCCGTTGGCGAAAGGCATATGATCTGTTTCTGAAGTGCCACCGGTGCCAGTTGCATAGCCTGACCACCTTGATTATGTTCATGTCCGTGTCCATGTCCGTGTCCATGTCCCTGTCCTTGCTGGCCTGCTGTTGCTGCTTTATGCACATTCAAATTAACATTCCCCTGAAGTTGAGGGGAATGCGAGTGCGAGTGCGAGTGCAATTCGGAGTGAGGCGAGAGCGTATCACAACCACCTGGCACCGAGCCAGGCACCGGCGACGGCACCGAGGAGCTGTGAGTGTGCAGATCGCACGAGCCAACCATTCCGGACAGTCCGTGCGATGGCGAGCTGGCAAAGTTGTGAGGCGGAGGTGAGATCAGCGAAGGCAATTTATCATAGGAGGAATACGGCGACTGAACACCGCCCAAACCACTCAAACTTAGATTACCCAAGGAGCCCGGGTGTGCGCCCTCAATGGGCATAGGTAAACTGGTGAATGAGCCATCCGAGGTGCCGCCAGTGCCACAGTTGTTGATCCTGCCATTCGAATTGGTGCTGCCATTGGCGCTGCCCGACGAACTCGCGCTGCCTGAAATGTGGCCCACATAGGCGAACTTATCTGACATCGTGGATATGGGCGGAAGCGGCTGGATGGGCGTCAGCGTTGCATATGACGTTGGGCTGAAGCTCGGCTCTGATATGCGATTGTTTACCGAAGTCAAGGTCTGGTACGTGCTATGCTCCAGTGCATTGTCAACGGCCAAAGCAGGGCTAAGTAGCTGACCCCCAGAGTCGCGATCGTCATCATCCTCGTCCTCATCAATGTCCTCCTCATCCTCCTGCGCCTGCACAATAACGGACAGCGCCTCCCGATGATGACCGTGACTGCCATGACTGCCCATTCCCAGTTGTACTGTACGCTGATGTTGACGCTGCTGCTGGTGCTGCTGGACTTGGTGATGGATCAATTCCGATGAGGATGCGGCAAGTCGATGACCATATTGTTGGTGGTGGTGGTGTTGATGGGGCTGATGCTGATGGTGCTGATCATCCAAGAGCTGTTGGTGGTGTTGGTTGAGAGTGACCTCCTCCATGCCACCGCCGCCGTCAGAGGACAGCTCATCGATAACGCTCACATTGATATTCGACATGTTAATGTCGATATGAGGGCTGGCGCGCCGATTAATCCCATTGACATCGGCATTTTCGCGTACAATGACCAGCTTGTGCTCTTGCTTGACTGCAATTATCTGGGATGTTGTACTTACGCTCAACCCATCGAGGCTTATGTCGGAACCCCCGAAATCGACTGGACTATGACGCTCCTGGTGTATCGGTAGCAGGGACATGGGCAGACTCCTGCCGCCCTGCAGTTGAAGCTGGTGAGGCACAATTTGATAGGTCGCCTGCAAATTGTTGTGACCCATTTCGTCGATAACCATAACCACTGAGGTGGAATCCTCCTCATCATCATGAATCCGGCTGCTGTCTGTGTGTGTCGCGATCAGAGTCTGCATGGCGCTGCTTAGAGCCGCCGGCGAATGCGGTTCTGAGCGTGGCTTTGCGTACTTCATCCCTGTCACTGCATCACCAGACTCGCCCTCCGGCGTCTGCGTCTGGTGTGCTGATTCAACTCCAATAAATTCACTTGTTTCCACAATCAGCTGCTGGCTGAACGCTTGGGAATCAATTATTTCATTCATCGATTCCATTCCTCAAACTACCCGTTCAAAGTTTCTCAGGTAACGCAAATATGAAATTTCCGAGATCCAGCTTTCGATTTCAGCGCACCAGCTGACCGATACACTGTAATAAAGCAAAAAAAAGAGTTGTATAAGTTACACTTAAGATTAAAAAAGATTCGAATTTCAGTCCTGAGCTATGGCAATTTACAATGGAATTTAGCGTGTAGTTACCGCATTTTCCAAGACGTGTGAATTTTGCGAAAAGTGTGAAAACAACTCTCAAGCGGAAACTGGGCGAGTAGGTAATATCTTAATACCAGTTAATATACTTCATATGTATAATACCCTCGCGGTTTCTTACCTTACTAAGTTATATATATGTATATTATGAGACTGTTATAGGAATGATCATGAATGTGAAAAACTAGCTTACCAAGACGAACAGAGGTATTAATTTGAGCCGTGATCAGTTATGATCAGAGCGGATCAATAGGCTCGGCATTTATTCGTTTTACTATGCTTCCGTATATTTGCGAAATCCTAACACATCCTATCATCGGACTATTATTCATATAGCGGCTATAGGAACGATCCGACGACAATTAAGTTGTTTTATGGAAAACTTTTTTTTTTCTCAAAAATAAATATATCATTACCAAACTCGCGATTTATTAGTTTTACTCCCTCCATTTTTGCAAAATCTTATCTACATCGGACCAATATATCATATAGCTGCCATAGGAACGATCGTTCGAAAAGTAGGTTGTTGCGTGGAAAACCTTTTTTGTTTTTCAAGATAGCTTAAGCATACTCGTCATTAACTATTTTTCCTGATATTTTCTTAGATACGGGCAAAGCACTATGAGGATTATGAAAAGGTTGGCCCTGCAAGAGTATTAAAATTCGGCGTGTCAAAGATAGCCCTTCTTTCTCGTTTTTTTTATACCCTGAACCCATTAAAAATGGGTATAAGGGTATATTGTATTTGTGCAAAATCCAAATGTATGTAACTGGCAGAAGGCAGCTTCTCCAACCCCATAAAGTATATATATTCTTGATCAGCATCAATAGCCGAGTCGATCTAGCCATGTCTGTCTGTCCGTCCGTCCGTCCGTCCGTCCGTCTGTCCGTATGTATGAACGCAAGGATCTCAGAACCTTTAAGAGACTTGAAATTTTAGATGTAGGTGCTCCTAGGGCCTGCGCAGATCGAGTTTGTTTCATATAATCGATAACTTACTCCGTTTCCAAGCAATCGATAAAAGTCAATATCGATATCCTGTTTTTTGGGCAATTTTGGTAAATAATAAGAGCTAGAGTCACCAAACTTGACATATAGCTTCTAAAATAGAATATATATATATATATATATATATATATATATATATATATATATATATATATTTGATGTTGGAAGAAGAGGGTTCAGGGTATCCCCTAGTCGGGAGCTCCCGAACCTCTTACTTGTTTGTTTTTGATTTGGAGAAACGAAAGAACTCAACAAATAAACTATGATTAATGGATTGCCGTCTTATGTAGTACATGCCAGTTTTGGCGTGTCTGTAGAATGGTCTGGTTATTAATCCTAATACATGGTTAATATGTAGTAAATACTTATACTTTCAAATAAGCCAAACCACGCTAATCGAATTAATGAAAGTCCAACACTTGAACTAAGACCTGGGTTTGAGCATGTGAAAAATAAGCTCCACTCATGACAGAAAGTCGGTTCGAACCGCAAACCAAACGAACAACAATTATTTTTTTTTTGGTTTTGCAGTCCATCTTTAAAGGTAAGTGTTGCACAACTTTATTGTATACTTTTTCACAGACTTTTAATGATTGCTTGGGGGATTTCCCAAAAAAACTTTTTTCACACGCTAACGCCAATCCCTTATCAAGTCCGACTTATTTTAGTGGATACGTGTTTCAGTTGAATATATATTACGGATACATATTTGTTTCTTATTTGTTGTCAGTTTCCTGACTTCGTTTTGTTTTCGTCCCTGTCCGTTGCCATCGTCGCCAAGCCTTAAGGGTTGATTTCGTTTCCACAAATAACACACACGAACGTACATATTTAACTAATTTATGTATGTGTGTGTGTATATGTTTTTTTTTGTAATTTAGTCTTATTTAAATGGTTATAATCTAGTATTTTTTTTAACTACATACATACATACATGTTTTTTTTCGCACTAACAACTTTACTGTAAATGCGACCCACACACACACGCGCACGCACACTCATGCAAATAGAGTCTCTTGCCATGTACATGCATACGCATGCCAAGTTATGTATGTATGTATGTGCATGCATGCATATGTTTGTCGATTTGAGTGTTTATGTTTTTATATCATGTAGCTGTCTATGTGTGTGTGTGTGTGAATGTGTGCTAAAAGGGGGTTCTTGGGGTTGTTTTCACATTTGAAAATAAAGCTTTATCCACAAATATTCGCATCCAATTTTACCTTAAGCCATTGCTGGGTCTTGGCTACATCTTTACTGGGTCGTTTGTTTGTTTTATTTGTTAGTTTTTAAGTACACTTCAGTTTATTATAAACAATTGAAATTTAGTGCCATTTCCAAATGGAGTCGGCACAGCCTCAGTTTTCCTATATATGTATTAAATTAGTTCCTGCGCTGCAGAAGGCTCTGGTTGGGTAATAATGTTCGCACGAATTATTATCAAGAACTTTCGCGGCAGGACCGACAATAGTATATCATTTTTGACGGAACTATTTACAATTATATATTTATTTGAAACTGGCACAGTACAAATGCATGCATTTATCGTGCATGTGTGTGAGTGTGCGTGCGTTGTAAAATTTTATTATGTATATGTGACCGAGAGCCCGCGTTGCGCAAGGTTTCGGCCGCACGCAGAATATACCCAATTTGAACTGAACTGAAACTAACAGCCACATATACACACGAGTATCTTAAGCCTGATGAGCGACCCCTACCCCTACCCCTACCACCCCCTAAAAGCACCAACCCAACCACCCTTGTTGCCACAGGAGAGTTGCCACATGATATATTTGTATTTGCAGCGTACTGTTTTGACTGGAAAAACGTGCTCTGTCTGCATTGGGCATATCGAGAATGCCTATTGAAATTTCCAGTTAAAATAATAATAAATCAATAATAATAAATAATAAAATAATAATAATAGAGTTTGCCTGCAGTTGCAGATGCTATTGACCAGGCAACTACTTTCTTTGGATGTGGCAACGCCAACCTACCCACAAAAAATAACGGCGCATGCGTTCTCTATTTTCGAATACTGTTACTGTTGCTTACTCTCTGAGCAACTTCTTTCATCCAACTGAACAGAAAATGAGTGTGCTTTAACCAACAATCTCTCGAATCACTTGTTTTCTTCATTTAAGACTCAACTTTTAGTCCTCGCAACTAGTATGTAAAGTGTATATATAAATACATATAAATATTTTATATTATATATATATATATATATAAGTGTAGGTATCTATATACACATATGCATATGTATATATGTTAATCTGTTAGATTACGATTTGACATGAATTCGGTCTTAGCCTTAACGCGCATGTGCCATTTAAAATGATATATATCTTTGTAAACCCTTCTAAAGGGTATGATAGTTTTGTCACAAAATATGTAACGAATAACAAGAGTCAACTATCTTATATATTCAAACATATATTCTGGATCAGTCTTAATGATATTATCTGGAAACTTTGCATAGGTCCATCTTTTCTCCATAGAAACGATCGGTTGAGAAGTACAAGTAAAAATTGCTCTCCTCCAAGATAGACGTAAGATCGCGAGATCCCCGTACTTACAAAACAGTTTTTTGGCTAGCTAAAGGTGAATTTTAGCTATTTTAGCTATTTTAATACCCTACACCTGAAATATATATTCTTGATCAGCATCAAAAACCAAATCGATCCATTTATCTGTTTGTCAGATTTAGATGCCAAATTGATTTTGTATATATATATGTAAATATGTATGAAAGTGTATATATATGCATGCATGTATGAATGAATGAATGTATGAATTTGTGTATGTGTTTATCTATGCAAGTATGTGTGTATGTGAATGTGTGTGTAAGTGTGTTCGTGTGTGTATGTATGTATATGACTATTTATGTATGTATGTATGTATTCAGACCAATTTGTCTTTTTGCGAGGCAAATTTAAATAAGGAAGCACATTTATTAAAGCTGCCCTCCTCCTCGAATCTCAAAAATTGAGGTAAGGTCTGCAGTTTTCGGCTATGAATTAGACGCTGGCGGCTTCAACGCTGGAAGCTGAGGAGCCAGAGAAGCATTAAGGGGGCAGGTACATATGTAGGTAAGTAGGTATGTACATAGGTATGTATGTATGTATGTATGTATGTATGTATGTATGTATGCAGGTATGTACATAGGAATGTATGTATGTATGTACTTGTGTCAGCATTAAGGGGGCGGGGCAGGTATTTAGGTAAGTAGGTATGTATGTATGTATGTGTGTACGTACGTATGTATATAGGTATGTATGTATGTAGGTATGTATATAGGTATGTATGTAGTAGGTATGTAGGTATGTATGCATGTATGTATGTATGTATGTAGGTATGTTTGTTTGTAGGTATGATGTATGTATGTATGTATACATGTATGTATGTGTGTATGTTTATATGTATGTATGTATTTATGTATTTGCGTTTGTAAATTAAGATTTAAATAATAGTCCTCGCGGATTATCTATATTTAACTTTATTTGGGTAATAATTTCTAAAACACTAGGCCGATACGCCGTAGTGAGTGAGTTAATTTACGCGCGAAGTCTCTGGGCCGATGTACCTCAGTGAAAGCCGCATTAAAAACTAAATTTACAAAAGATTGATCAAAAATACCTAAGCTATTGTGTGCTTTCACAACGGCCGCTAGAATGCTTAGCTTGCGCCTCGTGCGTTGCCGTCGTGCAAGAACATCCGGCCCAGAGCTATGTCAGCATCTGCGGCTGGTGTTATGTTGCATTTTGCTGACCCCTGTTAGCTCGTAAGACCATTCGGCTCAGTGCTATATCAGCATGTGGAGCTGGTGTCGATTACCTCTGTAATATCCTATATTAAGTGTTATGTGTTAACTTGTATGCATGTATTTATTTATTTATGTATGTATGTATGCATGTATATACGTATGTATGTTTGTATGTATGTATGTATGTAGGTATGGTAGGTAGGTAGGTATGTTTGTTTGTAGGTATGATGTATGTATGTATGTATGTATGTACATATGTATTATGAATGTATGTATTTATATTTTATTTATTAATTTATTTATGAATGTAGGTATGTATGTATATAAGGTAGTAGTAAGACTGGGAACTTTTCGCTTTTTTAACACCTAAGTACGCAGGAAAAGTCTTGTCAGGATGCTGGAATGTTTGTAAAGTAACTCGGCGCAGGGCTTAGGGTCTCCTTGTCAGACACCTCCGACTAGACCAACAGCGAAATGTAGCATGTTCGCGGTTTGAAACTGAAAGAATAAGATTTCCAACAGCATTTTAATAACAACTATTATACAGAAAATACAATTGATTTGATCAGTGATTGACTTTGTCCAATAGTTGTCATGGGTGACGATCTGTACTTAATAACCACTTAAAAATTAGGTGTGTTTAAATACTTATGTGCTTCATAGATAATAGTTAAAATCTTGCGAATCGCCTTAAACATTATGACTAAAATACATATACACAATTTTAGGTGTTTTACTGAATATACTTATGATATTCTTTACAGGCATGTTTAAAGGTTGCAACAATAACTTTTAAATATTAAGTTAGTTAATCATTTTGGTTACTTTTATTTTTATTTTTACAAGTACACCCAAAAAAAAAATTGCCTACATTTTAGATAATCGAATTGAAATTTAAAATTTTCTTAATTTCAGAAAATTATTTTGTTTAGAAATATTTCATGCCTTTCAGACAATTATTTTGCTAATTAAAACTTTATTATCTCAAGGCAAAAAATATGTTCATGAATTTTTTTAGTTAATTGAATTTAAATTCTTTTTCAAAATGTTTTCAGAACTTAATTACTGAAAAAAGTTGTATTTCTAAATTTGAAATCGACATCCGGCTTAGTTTTTCTCAAGGCAAAAAATATGTTCATGAATTTTTTTAGTTAATTGAATTTAAATTCTTTTTCAAAATGTTTTCAGAACTTAATTACTGAAAAAAGTTGTATTTCTAAATTTGAAATCGACATCCGGCTTAGTTTTTTTCTGAGTGTATTTCTTTTCATGCTCAATTATTAATTCATATAGATTTTCTGAGTGTATTTATTTTCATACTCAATTACTATTTCAAAAATATTTATGTACGAATCGATTAACGGATACTCGCGTTATTTAATATATGTTTACGAGCTATAAAAGTCTACATATGTAGGAATCTGCGTTATCTGTGTGTTATGTATAACTAGCTATTCCTTTAAAACTTTGAAACTTTAACAACTTGTCTGTCATTTTGATTTAGGTACTCGGGTCTATTTCTCTTTCTACCTTTTACCCAACAAAACGGAGCAGAGCTCTGAAGCTTCTCCTCCTCTTATTGGATTTTTTATTTATATTCTCAAAATAAATCAAATATGATTTCAGATATTACAATTGAATGGTCGTGGTCAATATTTATAGGAGCTAGGGCCTTGAAATTAACGTAGATCCTCCTAGAACGAGTTTATTTGCCCGACTATCAATAATAATCCCCGTTTCCGAGCAATCGAAAATCGATATCTTTCGATTTCTTCATAGTTGAAAATAAACCCTTTAATCGTTTTTCACTGTTTATATGTGGGTAAAAAATGTATATTGGTTTTGTACGAATGTCTGTAACAGGCAGAAAGAAGTTTCTCCCAACCAAACTCTACTCTGGCCATGCCCGTCTGTCTGTCTGGCCCTCCTTAACTTATTGCAGTTAGAGACTCGAAACTAAATTATGTTTTTGATGAGGCTTTAACAAAATTTCACCAAACTAAATCATTACATTGTAAATGAATAATACCCTAATAAATAAATAAATACCCAAATTTGAACTGGAAATTATTTAAAGGAGTATAGGAGCATAAGATCTATACGAGTATCTATTTAATGCAGAAAATTTCATTCAGATCGGTTCAGGGTATAAAAAATGGTACATTATAATCGGAAAGCTTAAAATATGAAATATCACGCCGAGATTCCCAAAAATGTCCTATGGAACACACTCCCACAAATTTTTCTCCAACAACTGAAAAGTCTCGAAAGCCTTGTTAGCGATTATAAGAAAAATAATTATTTGTTTAAGTTTTCAAAAAAAATATAGTCTATAAGCTATGTTATTTCTCTGGTAGATTTCTCGTTAATGTTTGATTATCTGGACATTGAGTCTAGACGGAAGATGTAGCGTTCCTTCCGCTGTCGATGGTCAGGCTCGAGGCTCGCATACTCAGGGAAGCCAGCGACAAATTGCTGCGGTAGACTGCGTTGGGAGAAGCATTTGCTGTCAGGAGTAGAGCCGTGTTCTCTATGCTGGGCATGGATTTATTTTGAAGCCCGTTGGAGAACACGGCCGACTCATTAGCCGAGGCTCGCGTTGACAGCGGCAACAGAGTTTCCGAGTTAAGCGACATAAATCCATCTAGATTGAGTCCATTCGCGTTTAGCGTCGCGATCCTAACACCATCTCCATCGAAGTTCTCAGTTTCGGCTGCGATCTCGTTCCCATAGAGCTGCAGGCGGGAGCTCAGCAATTTATTGCACGCCGGACACGAGCGCGCCGATATACTCTTATCCCGCCGGCGAAAAATTTCATGAGCACATCTAAAAAAAATATAAAATTATCAAATTATATTCAAGCTGAATGATTTTTAAAGATCAGCTCGATTTATATATGAGCTAAGATTGTTCTGCAAAAATCAATTTAATTATTCCTCTTTATGCGAAAGATATGTTAACTTTTCTGACTTGTTCTTAAGGTTGATTCAAATTTGTCGTTCCCCTTAAAGTATATATGTACTATATTCTAAATTAATATCAGAAGCCGATTCGATATGTACCCATGTCTGTCTTTATTTCTAAGCTAACTAGTCTCCCTTAAGGGAGGACGAAGGCCATGTTAGACCTTAGTGTAGATAGATAAAGAAATTTGATCTTCACCTCAAAAGGTGAAGGAGAGGTTTACTACACGTAGTTTCTGGCTGTCTGGTCTAGTCTGTTCTCAAATCCGACTTCCAGGCCAACTGTCTGGCCTCTGAGCTGTTGGCGAAAGGTAAGGCGTCCCCAATCCAAGCCAATCAACCTATCACAGTTCGAATTGGATCCACTTGGTCAACAAATAAAACCCTTAACTGCTTCAGGTAACTTTAAACATGTCAATAAATTAGGTTATATTTTCTTGCTTGCTGGGTTCAGGGCGTCTCCTAATCCCGACTAGAAGTAATTACCTGGCATGCAGTATATGCGCACACGGCAGGGCTTCCAGGCTGGCGGGCTGAATGCCAAAAACTTCTCCACAGGCGCCACATATCAGGCCAAGGGCCGCGTCAGTCTGATCGGCCAAACGGAGGTGAGTGTTGCACTGGTCCTCGTCGCCCAGGGCCCGATATATGAGTGCCAACCGACTGCGAATTTTCCGAACCAACAACTAAAATATATATAAAGAATTAGAAAGTATTCTTGTCGATTGGAATGGGTGCCGTACCTTCGCCCCAATCGAGCTGGCGACCTCCAATAGCCGCGTATTGAACTCCAAAGGCCTGCAATTACAGATCTTATTTTGCAGTCGCAAGGTTTCCAGACATCGGGCTGCGCCATCCATCGCCTCCATCTGGGCCATGCGATCGCCCAAAGTTGCCGAAGTTCCCATCGCCTGCTCATACTGCCGAAATGCTCTCTAAGTTTGAAACATAAAGAAACCCATTAAACTAATATTAAATCTCATATATATACTAAAACCGTTGCACCTTTGCAATTGTATATATTTGGTCTGATACAGACAAAAAGCAAGCCCCAAGGAATATTCAAGAAATATTTCAAACTGTTGTAAAAGCAAGTCGATTGGTCTCTACTGTAATAATGCCAGTCTGTCTGTCTATCTATCGGTCTGTCTGCCTATCATCCTGTCTGCGCGTTTGTAAGTCTACCTGTCTGGAAGTCTACCTGTTAGTCTGTCAGCATCTCTGTGTGTCTGCCTGTCTATCTGTCTGTCTGTCTGTCTATCTATCGGTCTGTCTGTCCATTTGTCCGTCTGTCTATCTGTCCGTCTGTCTGCCTATCATCCTGTCTGCGGGTCTGTAAGTCTGCCTGTCAGTCTGTAAGCATCTCTGTCTGTCTCTCTGTTTGTCGGTCTGTCGTTCTCTCTGCCAGTGTGTCTGTTTGTCTGCAAGTCTATCCTGTCTGTTTGCCCGATTATTTGCCTATCTGTCTGTTTAAGTGATACCCTGAACTCGATTTTATATATCTGCGTTACTCTTGATTACCAAGCGAGGTCTGATAGACCCTCCTAGACTAATGCCAGGTCTGATTTTTTCCTAAATGCCCAGATTATTTGATAAAACGTGAAAAAAGGGAAGTGTCTACAAGGGTATTAAATATCCTTAAGGGACATAAAAATGCACTCCCTTTAGATTTACGCCCTGCCCTATACGTACGTCAATATCCATCTTCTTGCGGTAAATGTCACCCATAACACGGATACTTCGTGTGTACGTGGCCTGATCTCCAGAAATCAATGAGAGCCTAGTTGCTTCCTAGATAGATAAAAAAAATATGTGAAACATGAAAGTCTAGAGAGTTCTTTATCCCTCGCACCAAGCAATAGTCGTGGGCATCTCCAAGCTCTCCCTGCTTGCGCAATGAGGCTGCCATTCGCAGCAAGGCGGCCCTGTGATGGCAGGAGTTCAGGTCACCCAGTTGTAGGGATCGGGAGAGATCGTATGCCTTGGATGCATATGTTGCACTCTTGTCGTTGTCCTGCAGCCGGCTAAAGAGTTCGGAGAGCGCCACGTAAACCTGCAGCTCCAGCGAGGGATCGCCAATGGCAGTGGCTATCTTGTGGGCACCCTGCAACCCTTCCAGAGCTCGCGAAAAGCCGCCCATTTCCAGATAGACCCGTGCCACGGTCAAATGTACCAGGCCACTGCGGCATTTCGTGCCGGACTCATTGTAAAGCGAATGACGAGCATAAGCCAGAGCCCGCTCCAGACCACCGAGGCTGGCGTGAGCACGGCTCAAGTTCAAGTACGTCTCGGCACGCATGTTGGGCGAATCCAGCTCCTCGGAAATGCCCAACTGCTGGTGGCCAAAGTCAATGGCGTCTCGATACTTGCCCCAGTCCATGTGTGCCTGGTACAGGTAGCCTAACAGCTGAAAGCAGTCCTCCCGCCGGCAGGTACCCTTTAATGCACTCCGCCAGGTGCGAACTGCCGCAGTCTGATTATGCTGCTCGTACAATCTCAATCCGCGTTCGATCTGCAAACGAATAATGAAATTTATCTCGAATCGAGAACGATTTCCTAGATACACCGTACACAAGGGCTTCCAATTATTGTAATATTGATTTGAATGACAAAATCTGAATCCGGGTTTTATACCTGATCTTTATGACATCGAATGTTTTCGCATCAATTGAAAAATCTCCATCTCCCAAATTCCTTAATATTTACAACAAAAAAAACAAGAAAGAAGGGATATCTTCGGCACGCCGAATATTTAATACCCTTGCAGACCCGACCTTTTGACAATCCTAATAGTGCTTTTCCCTTACCTAAAAAGAACAGGAAAAATAGGTAATGCCGGGTATGGTTAAGCCATCTTGAAAAGCAAAAAAGTTTTCCATGCAAGAACCTTATATTCGACCGATCGTTCCTATAGCAGCCATATGATATAGTGGTTCAATCCAGCTGGTTCCGACATATGTACTGCGTGCAACACAAAGGGGAACTTCTGCAAAGTTTCAAAAAGAAAGCTTTAAGACTGAGAGACTAGTTTGCTTAGAAGCAGACAGTCGGACATGGTTTTATCGACTCCGCTTTTGATACTGGTCAAGAATATATACACTTTATAGGGTCGGATATGTCTCCTTTTATGCGTTACACATTTCACGACAAAATTATAATAACCTCTGCAAGAGTATAAAAAATAAAAACAAAGTTCTTTCTGAGTCAAAATTGAAAAAAATGTATAGTATACCTTTCGTTTCGCTATATACTGACGCAGACTTCTTTGACATGACCAAAAACAACTGATTATGGTGTTAACCTGACCGGAACGAGCGAAACCCGGGCGAACCCACAATGAACGTGGTCCCACATCCCCATCGGGGCTTGAGCCGTGTCCGGCAATTCTCGAGTAATTCTCCTCAAATTGGCACAGATCTGTACATATAGATAAACCCGATTCACTAATCGTTTGCTCACACTAGATCTACCTGTATTAAACGGACCATTGCAATTATCCAGCAAATATCGCGATCCATCGGGAGACGCGAGTAAATGTGTTGCTGATAAATTATGACTTTGCGGGATGCTAAAAATATTTCTCGTAAATAATTGAATTCTCCATTAAATAAATTCAGCCTCCCACTTACCTAAGCAGATCCTTTGACGCGATGCTCTCCCATGACATGGCTCTTTCTTATAAGGCTTCTTTCTTTTTTGGTTGTCACAGTAAAAAGATCTATTTTAATTAATAATTAATTAAGTAAGCATTTATATTTGCCAGTCATTTCTGTATATAAAACTGTGTGGCTTTGAGAAATTCCACCCGCAAGTGTGGGAAAAACGCGGAAAACTTTTGAAGAAAACTCTTTGGTTACCATCTGATCCCCCTCATTGTATCAAATATCTTTGTTCAATTTCATTTCATACCTTTCGGAAAATCCATTCCACTTGTAAATGTGTAAATGGGGGTCAAAGGTCTTTGTGAAAAGTGACAAAATAGTTTCAAACGTTTGTATGTTTACCAACCGAACTTTTTAAAAGTTCTATGAATAAATACGTGTTTTATTAAGAGTTATTTCGAGTTTTCCAATTGGACGGGTATGAGTTATTTAGTTATGCACAATTAGATTCCAATTCCACTTGGTATTTTACGTAAGGAAGATTAATTATATGCTCCGTGAAAAAACATTGAGCGTAACTTTTTGTCTGGCTGAAATTGAATACACGTGACCTTGAATTATTTGAACAGAGCTTCACTTCTGAATGCACTTTTACTTGCGACTCTCAAGGCAATCCAATAAATGCGAGAGTCCTTGTTTTTACCCCGCCCTTCTACGCGAAGATAAAATTATCTTACCCTCACTATATTGACCCGAACTGTAATAATGTTTAACTATCGTAGCAAAACAGTTGTAAAATTTATTAATTATCTATTTATGTTAAAATTGTTGCTTCATTTTAAACAACTTAAAACTAAAATTTACGAACAGGGGTTGCTCTTACTATTTGTCTGGATGCTGTGTCCAAATTAGAGTTGACGTGCGCCCTCCTTTCTTTTAGGGTTGCCAACATTCGTGAAAGCAAAGGACTCGGAACCGGAACTAGTTCCTTCTGTTATGCACGATGACTCATCAGTTGAGTTTAAAAGAAATTTTCAAATTAAATTAACAGATTAACAGGTTGAAAGAACCTTCTTTGATTGCAGAGATAATGGCTATTGTAAGGTGTGAATTTCTGTGTTTTATTCTTTTAAACAACCGCATACTTTCTTTCAAAAAGTGATCACTTGCCTAATAAAATATCGAAACATTCCTCCGGCTTTTATCGATATTACATTAAACAGAATTACAAGCCAAAGGAATGTATTACATTTAACAAAACTACAACCAGTAACCATACAATGCTTCATGCAAGCCCACCGCAGGCATGCCAAAAAAAACAAAGACCGTGCCAGTCGCTCAAATTTACGCACCCATTGATAACAAGTAAGAGGTTCTAGTGAACCTGAACCCTCTTATTCCAACACCAAATAAATGAATAAAAAAAAGTTCCCTTGGCAGGGCTTGAACTCGCGACAGACCGCACCACTTGTTATGCCTCAACAGCCACACCAACAATTAAGTACTTATGATAAAAAAATGAACTAAAATAACATTACAAAAAAAAGATGCGATTACCATGCTATTAGAATGCGAAGCAGACGCGCATGAATGTGTGTGTGTACATGTATACAGAAATTCTTAAAGTTACGCTAGCTGCCCCATCCAATTGCGCAGTTGCATCTTAATGAAATATTCTGCAGTATATCATATTGTACCATAGAATATTTGTGTATTCTGAAAAAGTCAATTGCATTTAAATTGTGGTGTAAATTGGTTGGCAATAAAAGTTGGGTTATTAACTTGATTTATAGCTCTAGGGTGGTAGCGGGGAGGTGGCGATAGGTATTAAATGAAAGATACTTAAAATATCTCTAATATTCTAGAAGCAACTTATCATGTTTGGTGACTCTAGCTCTTATTATTTACCCAATTTGCTAAAAATAACAGGATGTCGATATCGATTTTTATCGATTGCTTGGAAACGGAGTAAGTTATCGATTATCGGAAACAAACTCGATCTGCGCGGTAACTAGGAGCATCTAGCTCTTATAGGTTCTGAGATCCTTGCGTTCATACATACGGACGGACGGACGGACAGACAGACGGGCATGGCTAGATCGACTCGGCTATTGATGCTGATCAAGAATATATATACTTTATGGGGTCGGAGAAGCTTACTTCTGCCTGTTACATACATTTGGATTTTGCACAAATACAATATACCCTTAAACCCATTTTTAATGGGTTCAGGGTATAAAAATATCTCTGCCTCACGACAAACCCTTGATCAGCTCATTCGCACACATTTGTGTTTGTGCATATGTGTGTGTGTAATGCTCGAAATTCACAAATGCCAAAAACTTCAAATTTTGCCAAATTTTCATCGGGTAGCCAGGCAGGCAGGCTACCAACATGCACACAAACGCATAAATGCTTCTATCTATAGAAAAGTGTGTTAGTGTGCGTGGTTGGCCGACCCAAAAAGTTATCATGCACACATGCCAGCTATCAGGTACCCTTACCCCTACAACAAGCATGGAAAATAGCAATTTTGCACTTGAACAGGGCGAACCCTTTAATAATTTCACACAACTGCTCACTTGAAAGAGTGTGCGTCAATTTTTGGGTTTTCTTAAATTCTCCGACAAGCCGACGATGATTACTCTTGCAGAAATACGACAGACATTTTTGTATTTAAAGCAAAATAGGTCCCTACAGTAAAGAGAAAATAAATATAAATATTTCATTTAGGTCAATTAATTGTGTATTAAACAAAATTTAATCAAATTCTACTCATCATGCCTGACTGGACGAAGAAATACATGATAGAGCATTTAAATGTGAGTTCCTACTGCTACTACAGGCACAAAAGGCAAACAATTGAAGAAATAACCTCTGGCTCGCGACAAACGCCGCGATCTACTTGTGCGCACATCCACACAACACAAACATAGGAATGTTTGTAGATCTCGGGGAGGGAGAAAGAGATGGACGCAAGTGCGCAAAGCAATGAGCGAGGCACATGCATACACACATATGTTTTTGGGCTGTAAGGATTTAAAAATGGCACACATACATATATTAAGAAAACGCATCATCAGCCGCCACGTTGTGCGCTGAGCGAGATACGGCTTCGTACTGAACGTTCGGCTTTTGAGGCCGGCGTTCGGCTGCCACTCTCAGCAGTCTTACTCTGTCTGGGCACACTAAAATGGTCGCAGGTACCATTGGGGTCGCCTCGTTTCGATTTTTCTTGTTTCGATAAAAAGTGCCATTTGGTATGTCTATACATTGTATGGTTAGTGCTACAACCCAAAGGAATGTATCGATATTGCATTTACAAGAGTTACATACGCATATTCATCAATAACTTGGCTTAACAGTGGATTCGTTCAAATTTAAATTCAAATTATTCAAAGTCTTACGATATAAATATTTACTAACCCAAACTTAATTGGATACGGGTATACACTTTTGTTAATGTTGGTTAAAAACGATATGATTGATGATAAAACGCAGCGATATAGGAGTAGATTTAAGTGTTAATCTAGATAAGTTTAATTGACGAGTCAACCCAGAAGATTAGGCATAATATACGATTAATTAAAGAAGGAAATTTAATTATCAGAAGTCTAAGTTTAACATTATGATCTGACCAAGAATGACAACTAGATCATAGGCTGTCAAGGGTGTAGGAAACCATTTAGGAAGAGCTTCTATAAAAAGGTATTATCTTGTATTGGATCTACCCATCCTTAATGCCCTTAATGCAGACAGTAAGATAAAAATAGGAAATTTTAGCTGTTGGCTATAACCAAGCATATTTCATAGTTAATTAAAATGAAATCACATACATTTGCACTCCTTTCTATGACTGATTCAGAGAGCAAGAGAGTAAAAAGTACATATGATTTGTGCGATAGAATGGAATCGCTGTCTTTTATCTTGCTCCCACTACAGGAAACTGCCGGGGCTTACTCTCGTCCATATGATTTGTGTGGTAGAACGGCAGCGCTGTCTGTTATCTCGCTTCCTGGCTTGGCTTACTCTCAGTGCTCTCTCATTATGGTAAGGGATCGTTTAAATGTATGCCTGTACGCAACAATTCGCACAAAATCGATTTTCCGCAAAGATATAAAAAATTGAATGAATGGCACGCAAGCTGTTAATTTAAATTTGTTTGTTTTTATTTTCATTGATACATTGTTCACTTCTCCACTCTGTTGCTTCCTTGCTTTCGTTCGTATTCTCTTTATACATACATATGTAGTTCGTTTGTGTTGAATGCAGTTGCTTATCTTACCCCTTAAATGGTATAAGTAGATATAAATTTGCTGTGCTACAGTTAAAAACTACATTTTAGTCCTTCACTACCCCAACATTGCTATCGGCCTACAATTAAACCAGCTCCATGTATAAGTGCATACACATACAAGTGTATTCAACTATAATTGAATAACACAGTTATCGTGATCACTTGCGGCATGTCTGAGTGCGTGTTGAGTGTGTGTATGTTAGTGGATGTTTATAGCATACTTATAAGGGCCAGTTATAATATTATGGTTCAAATGAGAGCAACAGCTGTGATCTGTTTATTCGGACTGTTATGTATTCTGTATTCTGTATTCAAATTCGTGTACTTAAATTGCACAAAAATATAAATGGAGGCTTGGAGTGAAGTATCATTAAATCATTGTGCGAATCAGTCTAATGTTTAAATAAAACTGAAGCACAAGTTGGCAATGGTAAGGCAAAAGCAAAAAAGCCAAATCAATTTAAAATGTTATCTAGTTACGGTCGACGAGCTTTAAAATACAAATAGCCAATTTTATCTGGAAAATGTACAAAATCGGATGGACAAGAAAAATGTAAATCATTCCAAAAATTTGCATTCCAATATAATTGTACTGATACAAATTGTGAATTTTTCAGGAAACAGACTTGTGAACAATGTGTAAAAATATAATGGCTAATCGTCATTCAAAAAAGGGAATATGCGGTCAAAATCAAGCCGAATGGGGTAAGTTGTTCACGGTTTAAGCCCTATTTAAGCTCAAAAGAAGAAGAGTGTGCTGTCGAAATATAGAGGCCAAAACCGGACTGGAAATATGAGATACATTTGGTAAAACTAAATGGGCTGCCATAATTAATAGTTATTTATTAAAAAAAAACTATTTGTAAGGTTCAGTATGTATGTATGTATATGATTGTTTGTATGTATGTATTGTATTGAATTATATTGTAAGGGGTGTATTAGGTGTATTGTGAGCGTAATCCTAATCATCTCAATCGGTATGTGGTAAGATCCTATTGTATCTACATGTGTGTGTGTTTTGTTGCCTATGTGGAGTTAGCTTTGCAAAGCATTTTATTGAAATCATTTCAAAACTGGATTCGGTTCTCGGTTTCTGGGTGCTGCCCGCTTTCGCTACGATTTGGGCGAGGTCGTCGGATGATATAAATTCGGTTTAGTCGTAAGTTGTTTGGTTTTCCTTAAATAAGCGTTTGCTATTGCGGGCCAGAACAGGGGATCGAGTACCATGAGATACAAGTGGGAAAAGAGTGCTACGCTCCACTAACTTTGAGCTTAGAGTGTGTTTAACAATTAAGTACTGCATGTGTGGGCGTTTGAGTGTGTGTGTGTGTGTGTGTGTGTGTATGGGTATGCTTGTTTGTATATGTATGTTTACTTCATTGTTTGTTGTTTAAGTACCTTACAGAAAACAAAAACAATATTTTTTTTTCAGAATAGTTTTAAAGTCAGTTTATACATAATGCACATGATCAGAACTAGACTTTAATTATACACCGAAACGATCTCTACCTTCATTATTCTCGAGTGTCTGCAAGTTTTTGTCTTGAATGTCTTCTGTATATG